CCTCTCAATAGATGCAGAAAAAGCATTTGACAAAGTACAGCATCCTTTCTTGATCAAAACTGTTCAGAGTATAGGGATGGAGGGCACATACATCAATATCATAAAAGCCATCTATGAAAAACCCACAGCGAATATCATTCTCAATGGGGAAAAACTGAGAGCTTTCCCCCTAAGGTTGGGAACACGGCAGGGATGTCCACTATCACCACTGCTATTCAACACAGTATTAGAAGTCCTAGCCACAGCAGTCAGATAACAAAAAGAAATAAAAGGCATCCAAATCAGCAAAGAAGTCAAACTCTCACTCTTTGCAGATGATATGATACTTTATGTGGAAAACCCAAAAGACTCCACCCCAAAACTGCTAGATCTTATACAGGAATTCAGTAAAGTGGCAGGATATAAAATCAATGCACAGAAATCAGTGGCATTCCTATACACAAACAGCAAGACAGAAGAAAGAGAAATTAAGGAGTCGATCCCATTTACAATTGCACCCAAAACCATAAGATACCTAGGAATAAATCTAACCAAAGAGGCAAAGAATCGGTCCTCAGAGAACTATAAAATACTCATGAAAGAAATTGAGGAAGACACAAAGAAATGGAAAAACGTTCCATGCTTATGGATTGGAAGAACAAATATTGTAAAGATGTCAATGCTACCTAGAGCAATCTACAGATTCAATGCAATCCCCATCAAAATACCAGTTTTTTCAAAGAAATGGAACAAATCATCCTAAAATTTGTATGGAACCAGAAAAGACCCCGAATAGCCAGAGGAATGTTGAAAAAGAAAAGCAAAGTTGGTGGCATCACAATTCCGGACTTCCAGCTCTATTACAAAGCTGTCATCATCAAGACAGTATAGTACTGGCCCAAAAACAGACACATAGATCAATGGAACAGAATAGAGAGCCCAGAAATGGACCCTCAACTCTATGGTCAACTCATCTTCGACAAAGCAGGAAAGAATGTCCAATGGAAAGAAGACAGTCTCTTCAACAAATGGTGTTGGGAAAATGGGACAGCCACAAGCAGAAGAATGAAACTGGACCATTTTCTTACACCACACACAAAATAGACTCAAAATGGTTGAAAGACCTAAATATGAGACAGGAGTCCATCAAAATCCTAGAGGAGAACACAGGCAGCAACCTCTTCGACCTCAGCTGCAGCAACTTCTTCCTAGAAACATCGCCAAAGGCAAGGGAAGCAAGGGCAAAAATGAACAATTGGGACTTCATCAAGATAAAAAGCTTTTGCACAGCAAAAGAAACAGTCAACAAAACCAAAAGACAACCGAAAGAATGGGAGAAGATATTTGCAAATGACATATTAGATAAAGGGCTAGTATCCAAAATCTATAAAGAACTTCTTAAACTCAACACCCAAAGAACAAAGAATCCAATCAAGAAATGGGCAGAAGACATGAACAGACATTTTTCCAAAGAAGACATCCAAATGGCCAACAGACACATGAAAAAGTGCTCAACATCGCTCGGTATCAGGGAAATCCAAATCAAAACCTCAACGAGATACCACCCCACACCAGTTAGAATGGCTAAAATTAACAAGTCAGGAAATGACAGATGTTGGCGGGGATGCGGAAAAAGGGGAACCCTCCTACACCGTTGGTGGGAATGCAAGCTGGTGAAGCCACTCTGGAAAACAGTATGGAGGTTCCTCAGAAGGTTGAAAATAGAGCTACCATACGACCAAGCAATTATACTACTGGGTATTTACCCCAAAGATACAAATGTAGGAATCCGAAGGGGTACATGTACCCCAATGTTTATAACAGCAATGTCCACAATAGCCAAACTATGGAAAGAGCTAAGATGTCCATCGACAGATGAATGGATCAAGATGTGGTGTGTGTATATATATATATATACACACACACAATCGAATATTATACAGCCATCAATAGGAATGAAATCTTGCCACTTGCAACGACCTGGATGGAGCTGGAGGGTATTATGCTGAGTGAAATAAGTCAATCAGAGAAAGACAAGGATCATATGATCTCACTGATATGAGGAATTCTTAATCTCAGGAAACAAACTGAGGGTTGCTGGAGTGGTGGGGGTGGGAAGGATGGGTGGCTGGGTGATAGACATTGGGGAGGGTATGTGCTATGGTGAGCACTGTGAATTGTGTAAGACTGTTGAATCACAGACCTGTACCCCTGAAACAAATAATACATTATATGTTAAAAAAAAGAAACATATAGTAGGAAGGGAAAAATGAAGGGGGGAAAATCGGAGCGGGAGACGAACCATGAGACACTATGGACTCTGAGAAACAAACTGAGGGTTCTAGAGGAGAGGGGTGTGGGGGGATCGGTTAGCCTGGTGGTGGGTATTAAAGAAGGCACGTATTGAATGGAGCACTGGGTTTTTTATACGCACACAATGAATCATGGAACACTATTATCAAAAACTAATAATGTAATGTATGGTGATTAACATAACATAATAAAAAAAAAGAGTATTGTGCCTGGGGCGCCTGGGTGGCTCAGTCGTTAAGAGTATTGTGCCTATGGAACAAAGAATGAATTGGAAATTCACAAGAAGAGAAATGGGAAGACGGTTAGGAGCCTATGGTGTGATGGCAGTCCCAACTACATGTTTGTTCATTAGTATGTATATTCAAAAATATGTATACACATGCATAGGTACTGTATATCTGTACACATATGTGTGGTGTGTACATATATAAACATACACGTATAGAAAAACACATAGAAAAACATCTGGAAATATATATATAAAAAGTTGATGGCAGTTATTTCTAGAGTGGGGAATAGTATCAAGGATAGAATAAGGGTGGTATTAAAGTGACACTTTCAATTTTTACTCCACATATTTCCATAATATCTGATTTCTTTATAACGAGAAAGTATTCATATACTTCTTGTAAAATTAAAACAAAAGGACACAAAAAACAAGAGTCTCTTCCTAAGGCAAATCAATTCTTCTGACATAAAGAAAATCATTATGGTTCAGGAGAACTAGAAATTTATAGTCACATATCGTTTAACTGTTACAGACAGGGGCGCCTGGGTGGCTCAGTCGGTTAAGCTACTGACTCTTAGTTTCAGGTCAGGTCGTAATCTCAGTCAGGGTGGTAGAATCAAGCCCCGCATCAGGCTCTTTACTCAGGGCAGAATCTGGTCAGGATTCTCTGTCCCGCCCTCTCCTTCCCCGTTCTTTCGCTCTCATTCATTCATTACATACATACATACATAAATAAATAAATGTTACACACAGAATCAATCCCCTTATATTTTCAAGATCCAAAAAACAGTCTACTGCTGGAATCTATTCAAAGTCAGTAATTAGAAATGCAGACAAAAATTTATGAACATTGATATGAATTATAGCATTTTTATAACCACAGAAAACTATAAATAATCTAAGCATTCACTATCAGGGAAATGATTAAAAAAGGTCATGGTACAGAGGCACCTGGGTGGCTCAGTTGGTTAGATGCCCGACTCTTGATTTTGGCTAGGGTCATGATCTCAGGGTGATGGGATCGAGCCTGCCTGGAGCCCCACGCTGGTCTGCACGCCAGGGGTGGAGCCTGCTCGGGATTCTCTCTGTCTCTCTCCCTCTTCTTTTGCCCCTCCCCCCTGCGCATGCGCACTCTCTCTCAATAAATAAAATCTTTAAAAACAAGTCATGGTACATTTTCATGTCAATTTAATATAGATTTTAAAAATATTTTCAAAGGAGTTTAAATAGTTAGAAATGATTACAAGTGATAAAAAGTAGGTTAAAAAACATATATATAGAATGACACCAAATACATACATATATGAATATATACACAAAGTCATAGAATAAATTATGGTATCTAATTGTGAGACCTTTGGGTTATTTTATTTTCCAAATTGTAGTTGTCTGTATTTCCAAGTTTTCTATATTGAGTGGAAGTCACTTTTATTATTTAATTTTTAGAAATAATAATAAGGAAATCACTAATGCTTTCTGAGAGCAATTGGGGATATTTTCTACAGGAACACTGTTTTTGAAGTATAGTTTGATCATAAAGCAGAAATCTGCTAAGGTAGGATTTTAAGCAATAAAGGGAGCTGGGGAACTAGGCAACAGAGCTATCTGTGAATCTAGAATAGAGTTCTATGACCCATATCAGTACCTCTTCTACACACGTGGTAATCATTTCCCAAGTCTGGGGATCTAGGATAAAATACTGGTTGGTTAAAAGCTTAGGCTCTTGGATCCATCTAGCTGAGTTCCAAAACTGCCCCTCTCACTTCCTGACTGTATACTAATTTCTCTAAGCTTCAGTTTCTGAAGCTATGAGCACTTCTTCACCCTAAGCTGTTTTCAACATCATCAGTAATAGGCTTATTATCCTTCATTCACAAAGTAATTTGTATTTATGTCTGGTCTCACTTACTTCAGTGTCTGGCAACTCATCTCTAGCTATGGCCCATGCTTTCATTCCTGTTCACAAAGTCCCCAATGTCTTAGTGATGGGAATGCATTTAATACTTTCTAATACATTCCTAGTAGTCTCCTGGGGGCATTAGTTGGCTCTGAGTAAAATGGGGGAATCATGTAGTTCCATCATTCATAATCATGTACCTGACAGAATCCTAGCTATGGAGATGAGTAGATCCAGTCAGGAAAAATTCCAGTCTTAGGACCAACATAATTGAGAATTCATCAAGCAAATTAAGCCAACCTAACCAAAATTTCACATAAAGGAGTCTCTATGACAAGAAGCTAATAGCATTCATGTGGTTTGCTTTATGCTCTAAATGACTATATACAAATAATTGCTGTATGTGGCCATAAAAAAGCAACAGAAGAACCATTAGAAAGTTAGGTACAATGCTCTTTGTATTATATAGGTATGTATGTGTGTAAATAAAATAAGTCTTTTGGGGGCTATAATTTATTATTGAATAAAACTAAAAATACTTAAACATCACTTCTAAGATTTGAATATTTAATATGAATTTACCTTTTTCCAAAAATATATGAGTATCACTTCCATCACTTTCTAACAACTGTTCTTCCAGTATCATACTGTCAAGTGAAATGGTATCCAGTGAGGTCTGTGAGGAGCTTCTCTTCATGTTCTTAGAAGAAACACAGAGTGGAGCCAGACTGGGCAGGATACGTTCCTTAGGCTTTCCACTGTTTACAAAATTATTAGAAAAACATCACATTAAACCTATTTTTCTATGTGTTAACTCTAGCAATGCCTTATTTTGTCATGAGGTTTACTGTCCAAAAACAAAATATGCCCCCACCACAAACATATGCACAGAAAACCAACCCCCCCCCCCCAAATTCCAGTAGTATGTTGTTACCTTAAAGATGACTGAGATGTAAGTGTTCTAACTGTCGGTGCTTCTTCTTGATTGATTTCTAGGTTCTCAGAGAGTGAAGCTGTTTCTGGAAGCAAATCTTCAGCTTTAAAGACTGGCTCTATGGTTTCATGTCCTCTACTACTTAAACTATTTGAAAGTATGTTTTGATTACCATCAGTATCAAAGGATAGCAAATTTGAATCTTCTCTGTGGTTTAAGACACTAATTGAATCCGTATAAGATGAATCCTTTTTGTCACTTGTTTCTGATCCAATTTCTCCTGATCCACTTTTGCAGACAATTCCACTACTTTCATCTTCACTTATTTTCCCTAAATTTTTATCTGATAAACAATCCAGAAAAGAAATACCTTTTTGCAGATTTGTATCACTAGCTGATTTAAAAAGCAAAGGATCCTTCGAAGGCACATGGCTCAGGTCAACACTCATAGATCTGTTGTCTGACATGAGGTTAACAGTTACGCTTCTAATTTGATTTATACCACTACTATCTTGTTTCCTTTTGGAAGACAAAAATTCTCCATTTTCTGTAGGCAAATAATCAGGAACCATTGGGCTCACGCTTTCAGCAACAGGAGACTTAAGAGTATTTCCTTGATCCACTGGATGTAGCAAAAGAGCCACTTCTGCACTTTTAAGTAAAATTCCAATACAAATGGATGCCTGACTAGCAGGAGTGCCAGTCACAGCTTCTACATCTTTCCTTAAGTTCTCCAAAAGCAGAATAAGTGACTCATGGAGGAAAAGCAAGAGCAGATACTGGTAGTGATTGATCTGCATACTGACATGCTTATGAATGTGAACTAGGACATGAACATCTGCATCTGATGGTGAAGAGGAAAATCTTAAAAATGTATCTGAAGGTTTCTGACTACCATTTGTCAAGGGCTCAGATTCTGTACTGTAATACTCTTTCAAGAGCTTCTTCCGCTTGAGACGGCCAGTCAGATCACTAGATTCACTTCGTGATGTATTTAGACATACTTGATTACAAGACTGTAGCTCTTTTTGTGACACTGCATACCTTGTTGGTAAGCAAATCCAGATGGAAAGAGGGAAAGAGTCTACAAAATTTATTGGTCGCCCTTTCCCACTCTTTGTCCCTTCATAATCTATCCAAAATTGAGAAAAGTACAAAGCCCAAACATCTGTGGCAGCAGAAGTTTTAAGAGTGTGTTTATTCAACTTGGGAGTAATATTTCCTTTATAAACTTCATGCATTTTAGTATCTTGTTCATGAGCATGTCTCTGGAAGATTGGATGCAAAAGATTAAAATTGTCACCAGATTTGGGGAAGCTGGTATATGCTTTACTGAAAAAATCACAATCTTTAAAGTCTTGAAACAAAGCTTCTAGATCAGAATGTCGACAGTTTGGACAATGCCTTGTATTTGTGGCAATCATTTCAGAACTCTGAATAGAAACTGCATGTGGTTGATCTTGATGACATTCAGATTTCATTTCAGAAGGAATGACAAACTACAAGAGAAAAAACATTAATCTAACTTACAAATCCATATACATCTGAAGATAAACTAATCAGAAACATAATTTAGCTCAGGACTTCTTTTTGGTGTTTCCCCCCAGAACACTACTTTCCTACCCAGACATAAAATACCAACTCTCTCCCCCAAACATTTTTATTAAACCAAGGAAAAGGGACTTAACTGATTAACCACTAAGAAAAAAACAACTTACAAAAACCATAAATAATGAATAGTGAACATAATATATATGCATATTTGCATACAACATATCACAAAACAAAACAAACAACAACAAAATGAAACTAAATTAAATCAGTTATTACTAAAAGCTTACTATACCCTAAGTATATAAGTGGTAAGTTTGGAAAAAGGAACTTTTTCTTAGGATATTTTAAATCCAAGAGATTTGGAGGATGACTGGATGGGTAAATGGAATGACTGGAGAGATGTCATTAGAATGACTTTTCTGGGATAAAACTATTAAGAAAATAAACTTTAGAGGACAGGTCAAACTATTTACTAAAATAATTTTTCAGAAATAACCTCAGTCCTCAAAATATTCACATCAAAGAGTTCAAAGGGACTGGTTTTAAAACTGTACATATTGAGAAAGTGTAAAGATCATTACATAACTGTCTTAGAGTATAATAGTAAATAAAATTGTAAAATAAAATAATTGTTATAAAATGTGTCTTTTTATATTGAATATAGTAAGATCTTCGAGGAAATCTTTAAAACATTTTTGTGATGTAGGAGTTTTATTCATAACCTCATTTTACAGAGAAGAAATTAAAGGTATAGAAACTTAGAGTACCAGCAACACACCTAGAAACTGAAATTTTTCATCCATGTCCAAGTCTTATTCTATTTACTACACTATAGTAGCTGTTTTATTAAAAAAAAAAAACTTCCCTCCTTTAGAGCTAAAATATGCATGGGATTCAGATTATCAACTACTTGGCTGTAATACAAATCAACTTCCTATTATCTTTGGATATCAGTAACAGGAACAGAGTAACTGAAAAATTAAACACAGATCTAACTTACTAGTTCTGTTGTATTAATTACCACTTTTGAAAGAAAAATTTTATCTGGTCTGGTAAGATGTAGGAAAAAAAATGACTAAATTTTATTTCTGCTTACCTCCAAATGGATGAGCAGTGATAAAATAAAAGTTTTTCCAAACTTAGCACTTATATACTTAGAGTATAGTAAGCTTTTAGTAATACTTTTAGTAATACTGATTTAATTTAGAAAGAAGGGGGGAAAACAGTCACTTAAAGCTTTTTAAATTAAAAATCAAAACTAAAACTGAAATTTCAAAATCAAAATTAAGATTACAATAAAGTTGATTTATATTTGAGTACCTATCTTAAATCCTAGAAATTCTAATGCTATTAACTTCTCTAAAAACAGTTTTGGGGCGCCTGGGTGGCACAGTCGGTTAAGCATCCAACTCTTGGTTTCAGCTCAGGTCCTAACCTCAGGGTCATGAGATCGAGCCCCACACTGGGCTCTGTACCCAGTGCAGCGTCAGCTTGAGACTCTCCCTCTGCCCCTGTCCCCACCTCTCTCTCTCTCTCAAGTAAATAAATAAATCTTTAATAAAAAAAGGAAAGAAATATGGTTTTGTTGTTACAGCCACTTGTTTACATGGTACCTTTAGCATTAAGCCATCAACTCGAATATCAACATGCTCATCAGATTTTGAATGGTCATTCAACTTGTATACAGCCATAAATTGATTAAGACTCTGTTTTAAATCCAACAGAAATTGATTTAACCATAGAATACTTCTTTCATCCACAGTAAACTGTAGTGCATTCAGTTGGCTATAAAGGTTGGCAGATGGAACTGTGGAGAAAAAAAATTAGAAAAAAATTTTTAATGAACAGATAGTCTAAATCTTCCTTGAGAGAAAACATTTTTAACAACTTTTATTCTTTTTAAATTAAGATAATAAGGTTTTGAAATTTTATTTACAAAATTAAAGTGACATGTGGATGATAGCAAACACTTTTAGATAGACAAAACAAGATTTTTCTATGCTTCACTAACTGAAAATATACTACTTAATCTAAAACTATCAGTATGAATAGGAAGTACTATTTAGATCTCTTTTCCTAATGTTATAGTCACCAAGAAGCAAACTTCAAAAAACCTTACCTTCTTGATGAAGTATCACATCACAGTTGTGGTCCTTAATCAGATATTTCTGTAAGGACTTATACTACATGCATGCAATCCGAATCCTCTAAAATATGAGAACAGTGACTTATGAAAGTCGTAAACAAGGCAGATCTCCTTGAGAGGCCATACACTTTTATTCTCCACTTAATCCTAACCCTAGAATAGTGCTTGGTGCAAAGTAAAAACTCAAGTATCTAGTAAATAATAAAAGGAATATACTCTTTTTCATAGCTCCCCCCAAATATTAGAATGCTCAGGAGTTGGATAAATGTTTTAGTGCTAATTTATATTAAACAAATATTCACAATTATAGTATATATCACTTCCTGTAATCCTTTTGTTTATACCATAAAAGCCATTATTATTTTCAGAGTATCTTTTATTTATAAAAAATCTTTTATTCTAAACATTCAGACCTATTTACTTCTAGTAAAGCAAATAGCATGCATATCTAGAACTTTTCGACAATAATAATTTAGGAAAATAAACCCAAGGAATAGGATATCAATAAAGAGACAGTATTATAATAATGTCCTGAATAGGACATTTTTGGCATTCATTCATTCATTTGTTCATTCATTCCTTCATTCATTTTCTTTCAACAAAGATTCACTGAACACCAACTACATTTTGTGTATGGTGTAAAGTAATAAAAGTAATAAAAAGTCCGTAGGTTTTTATTCAAGACAGACACAGAGGTAGAAAAATTGCAATTCAAGTCCAACAGAGACAGCCAATTGGGATGTGGAGGTGCTTGTATTTGAAAATAGAAAGGCAGCGAGATGCTGAGATCACATCACTCTAGAAGGAAGGAAGAAAGGCCTCTCAATTATAGACTTTGTGATGATGACAGCTACAGAGAGGACTAGAGAGCAAATGCAGTCCCCAAGGCTACAGTACAGAAGGAAAGAAGAACCCGGGCTCTGCAGATCTGGGACAGAGAAAGAAACCTGGTGTACTAAGCAGTAGAAAAGTCTATACAGTATCTAACAGAGGATTACTTATGAAATAGATTATTATACAGTTATTAAAGATATTTAAAATAAACCTGTAGAAACCTGGAATATGCTCATATCATCAAGGGGAAAGGACAGGATGTAAATAAAACATATAATAGAAACACATATATTAAAAACAGGACTAGGAACACTATGCTTATGGTTATGGTCTGAACCATGTCCCCTCAAAATTGATATGCTAATAAAGTTCTAACTCAGGGTATCTCAGAATATGACTGTATTTGGAGAAAGAACTTTTAAAGATGCAATCATGGTAAATATGAGTTCATGTGGGTGGGCCCTAGTCCAATATGATCGGCATTATTAGGAAACACAGAGGAAAGACCCCATGAAAAGATAGAAATCTACAAGCCAAGGAGAGGTCTTTGAAGAAACGACCCTGCTGACACTTGATCTAGAACTTACAGTCTCAAGAATTATGAGGAAATACATTTCTTTTGTTTGAATCACCCAGCCTATGGTACTTTGTTATGACAGCCCTAGCAAATTCATACACTTATGTTTTAGCAGAAGTCATCTCTAAATTGTAGGCTTGTGAGCAATTATTTTTGGCATTTAAAAAAAAATAACCCATAATATATATTACATTTACAATATTTAAAAAGTGATATATTTTAAAGTTGGGTTGCTTAACAAAGAGATGAAATGTAAGGACTGAAAATGGATCTTTGTACATGGGGATTCAATGCACTCTCCTCTTTATTTTTATGTATGTTTGAAATTTTTGATAATGAACAGTTAAATTAAAAACAGTTAAAAGTAACCTAGCAATTCCACCCCTAAGTATCTATGGAGCTAGGGTTTAAATTGCTGAGAAGGAATCTTACATTTTTATCAGAAAAAATATATATATTGTAAAATGAGATTATATTCCTTTGGCACATGTTAACAAAACTGATAGAAATAAATAAACCTAGATTAGGAATCAGAAATCCTGGAAACTAGTCTTAACTCTGAAGAATTACTAGTTCAGTGATGTATTAGTTAAAGAAAACAATGATTTGTGAGAGGTGCGGAAGGCTGGAAACAATGGGATTCTCCAATTATAGACAAATGGTTGTGAATATCCTAGGAAGGCGTGTAATATAGCTGGGGACTGGAGGGAAGACACACAACGAATTTTGATATAGATGACCCATCCTTGAGTTTCAGCTGTGCCATCTTACTAAGGTGCTGAGCAAATGTCTTAACTTAATTTCCTCATTGTTTTAGTCAGGAAGGTAGAAAAGAGAAACAAATGAGAAATAACAAAAGACTACTGAAAACCATGAAGATGGTGAGAATTAGATCCCAAAACTTTGGCACAAACAAGAATTAAATGGTTAGACAGTTAAACAAAAAGGTACACATAAACAAAGGCAAATTTTAGTTTGCACAACTCCTGGATGAACTGAGACAATAGTATAGAAATTTACCATTCAAAGAACACAAATGTATAATTATTTTAACCTTAGGACCCCAAAATACCTTACAAACAAAAATTCATGTAACTCAATGTTTCTAGCTAAAGACAAGGGCCAAAGGTTGTCCAAAGTATACGTTTGTGCATTAAAAAACAGCAAAAAAATTTCTCTATAGCTAAAAGAATAACTCATTAATTTTTCAATGAAATATAGTTTTATATAGCTGAAATATAAATAGGCTTTACTAAGGGAAAAAAATGACCTTATTCTATAAATAACCTAACTTTCATAAATTCTTTCATTCAACAAACAGCTACTAAGTAAAGAAATGAGTCAAACCTCAGGGATAAAATGAAGCATGACTACTACATAATTCCCAACATTACGGATGGCTACAACCTGGGGCACCTGGGTGGCTCAGTTGGTTAAGCGTCTGCCTTCAGCTCAGGTCATGATCTCTGGGTGCCTCACCTCAGGCTCCCTGCTCAGCGGGGAGTATGCCTCTCCTCTCCCTCTGCCCCTCCCCCTCCTCATGCGATCCCTCTCTCTCACTCTCTCAAATAAATAAAATAATTTTTAAAAAGATTAAAAAAAAAAAGGATGCTACAAGCTAGTGAGAGAAAAAACATGAATAATCAGAATATGTAAAAAACGCTATACTATACAGGCACCCGGGTGGCTCAGTCTGTTAAGCCTCTGCCTTCAGCCCAGGTCATGATCCTGGGGTTCTTGGATCGAGCCCCTTGTTAGGCTCCCTGCTCAGCATGGAGTTTGCTTCTCCCTCTGCTACTCTCCCTGCTTGTGTTCTCTCTCTTTCACTCTCGCTCAAATAAATAAAATCTTTAAAAAAAAATACTATACTATAGTTATATACTAAGTACAATGACAAGTGAACAATGAATTTTGTTTATAAAACTCAAAAACTTAGGAAGAAACAGAACAACTTCCCAAGTAATGAACAAGTAATAAAAAAGCAGGAAACTCTCTTACTTGGAAAATCCTTTCCATCTGGATAGTAATATTCTGTGAATTCTATATAGACAGCTGACATTTCCTGTGGAAGATACAGGGATTTCTTATTGCAAGAAATCATACTCTTGGGGGAAGAACGACATTGTTCTGCTGTAGAGACCTGAAAAAATAATTAAGCATATTGAAGTAACACTAAATAAAGCCCTTTCCAAACAATTTATGCCACATCAACATCACTTCAAACTCCTAAAACTACTTCAAATAATTTATTAATTTCCAATGAAAACGTTATTATATATTTAAGCTCACATTAAATTATTTTTAATAATACCAATCAACTATTCAGAAAACTATAACCTCTTTAAAGGCTTATCATAACAACTCTTTACAATAGTCCTTGCAAACCTATTATTTTGAGCCATAAAATATCAGAATATTTCTATAACAGAAATAAGTAAATGGTACAGTCAGAACACAGATCCAGGTCCACAAGAACAGACTGCTTCCCTGGTGTGTATTTATAGTAATATTTTATCACAATTTATCATTATGAAAAATAATTAGCTATATACAGAGTTTCAAGCTGGGATAATAAAAAAATTATGGAGATGGATAATGGTGATGATATGGGAATGGCTGTACAACTCTGTAAATAAAACAATGCCAATGAATGCGACACTTAAAAATAGTGAAATGCTATCAAAACATTACGTTGTACACTTGAAACTAATATAATGCTATATGTCAATTACACCTCATTTTTTAAATTTAAATTTGATTAGCCAACACATAGTACGTCATTAGTTTCATATGTTGAGTTCAATAATTCATCAGTTGCATGTAACACCCAGTGCTCATCACGTGATGTGCCCTCCTTAATACCCATCACCTAATATCCCATCCCCCTACCCACATCCCTTCCAGCAACCACCAGTTTGTTTCCTAGAGTTAAAAGTCTCTCATGGTTTGTCTCCCTCTCTGATGACTTACCATTCAGTTTTCCCTCCTTTCCTCTATGATCCTCTACTCTATTTCTTATATTCCACATGTGAGTGAAACCATATGATAATTTTTTCTGACTGACTTATTTCCCTCAGCATAATACCTTCCAGTTCGATCTACGTGGATGTAAATGGTAAATATTCATCCTTTCTGATGGCTGAGTAATATTCCATTGTATATATATACACCACCTCTTCTTTATCCACTAATTTGCCGATGGACATCTTGGCTCTTTTGACAGTTTGGCAATTGTGGACATTGCTGCTATGAACACTGGGGTGCATGTGCCCCTTCGGATCACTACATTTGTATCTTTGGGGTACATACCTAGTAGTGCAATTGCTGGGTCACAGGGTAGCTCTCTTTTTAACTTCCTGAGGAACCTCTATACTGTTTTCCAGGGTGGCTATAGCAGTTTGTATTCCCACCAACAGTATTAAGAGGGTTCCCCCTTTCTCCACATCCTTGCCAACATTTGTTGTTTCCTGTCTTGTTAATTTTAGCCATTCTGATTGGTGTCAGGTGGTATCTAATTGTGATTTTGATTTGTATTTCCCTGATACCCAGTGATGTGGAACATTTTCTCATGTGTCTGTTGGCCATTTGATGTCTTCTTTGGAGCAATGTCTGTTTATGTCTTCTACCCATTTCTTGACTGGATTATTTGTTCTCTGGGTGGTGAATTTGGTAAGTTCTTTATAGATCTTGGATACTAGCCCTTTATCTGATATGTCATTTGCAAATATCTTCCTCCATTCTGTCAGTTTTCTTTTGGTTTTGTCAACTTTCCTTTGCTGTGTAAAAGCTTGTTATCTTGATAAAGTCCCAATAGTTCATTTTTGCTTTTGTTTCCCTTGCTTTTGGAGACGTGTCTACCAAGAAGTTGCTGCAGCCAAGGTCAAAGAGATTGATTCTGTGTTCTCTAGGGTTTTGACGGACTCCTGTTTCATATTGAGGTCTTTCATCCATTTTGTGTTTATCTTTGTGTGTGGTATAACAGAATGGTCCAATTTCATTCTTCTATATGTGGCTGTCCAATTTTCCCAGCATCATTTATTGAAGAGACTGTTCTTTTCCATTGGATCTTCTTTCCTGCTTTGTCAAAAATCAGTTGACCACAGAGTTGAGGGTCCATTTCTGGGTTTTCTATTCTGTTCCATTAGTCTCTGTGTCTGTTTTTTGTGCCAGTACCATACTATCTTGATGATTACAGTTTTGTAATATAGTTTAAAGTCCAGCACTATGATGCCACCAATTTTGGATTTCTTTTTCAACATCCCCTTGGCAATTTGGGGTCTTCTCTGGCTCCATACAAATTTTAGGATTATTTGTTCCAGCTCTGCGAAAAATGTCTATGGTATTTTAATAGGGATTGCATTGAATGTGTACATTGCTCTGGGTAGCATAAACATTTTAACAATATTTCTTCTTCCAACCCATGAGCATGGAATGTTTTTCCATTACTTTGTGTCTTCCTCAATTTCTTTCATAAGTGTTCTGTAGTTTTTAGATTATGGATCCTTTACCTCTTTGGTTAGATTTATTCCTAGGTATCTTATGGTTTGGCGTGCAACTGTAAATGGAATTGACTCCTTAATTTCTCTTTCTTCTCACTGTTACTGTATAAAAATGCAACTGATTTTGTGCATTGATTTTATATCCTGCCAGTTTGCTGAATTCCTGTATGAGTTCTAGCAATTTTGGGGTGGAGTCTTTTGGGGGTTCCACACAGAGTATCATGTCATCTGTGAAGAGTGAGAGATTGACTTCTTCTTTGCCAATATGAATGCCTTTTTTTTGTTTTGTTGTCTGATTGCTGAGGCTAGGACTTCTAGTACTATGTTGAACAACAGCGGTGATAATGGACATCCCTGCCGTTTTCCTGACCTTAGGGGAAAAGCCTCTCAGCTTTTTCCCATTGAGAATGATATTCGCTGTGGGCTTTTCATAGATGGCTTTTTTGATATTGAGATATGTTCCCTCTATCCCTACACTGTGAAGAGTTTTAATCAAGAAACAATGTTGTACTTTGTCAAATCCTTTTTCTCATCCATTGAGAGGATCACATGGTTCTTGTCCTTTCTTTTATTAATGTGATGTATCACATTGATTGATTTGCGGATGTTGAAGCACCCTTGCAGCCCAGGAATAAATCCCACTTGGTCGTGGTGAAGAAGCCTTTTAATGTACTGTTGGATTGTATTGGCTAGTGTGTTGGTGAGAATTTTGGCATCCATGTTCATCAGGAATACTGGTCTGTAATTCTCCTTTTTGGTGGGGTCTTTGTCTGGTTTGGGGATCAAGGTGATGCTGGCCTCACTGAAAGAGTTGGGAAGTTTTCCTTCCATTTCTATTTTTTGAAACAGCTTCAGAAGAATAGGTATTACTTCTTCGTTAAATGTTTGGTAGAATTCCCCTGGAAAGCCATCTGGCCCTGGACTCTTGTGTGTCAGGAGATTTTCTTGCTGGCTATGGGTCTGTTTAGGTTTTCTATTTCTTCCTGTTGCAGGTTTGGTAGTTGATATGTCTCTAGGAATGCATCCATTTCTTCCAGATTGCCTAATTTGATGGCATATAGTTGTTCATAATATTGGATTTTATTTCTGCACTAAGAGATTCTCTAGTGTCTTTTATACTTTTTCAAGCACAGCTAGTAACTTTATAATCATTATCCTGAATTCCAGGTCTGACATTTTACTTATATCCATATCAATTAGATCCGTGGCAGAGAGTATTACCTCTCATTCTTTCCTTTGTTGTGAATTCCTCCTCCTAGTCATTTTGCCCAGAGAAGAATGGATGAATGAGATAACAAAATCAAAAATATCAACCACGGCCCAAGTGAAATACACACTAGACAAATCTAAAGAGGTCAGAAACCATAAACAAAAAGAAAAAGGGAAAAAGGGGCACCTGGGTGGCTCAGTTGTTAACTATCTGGGCTCAGGTCATGATCACAGGGTCCTGGGATAGAGCCCTGCATCGGGCTCCCTGCTCTCTGGGAAGCCTGCTTCTCCCTCTCCCACTCCCCCTGCTTGTGTTCCTGCTCTCGCTATCTCACTCTCTGTCAAATAAATAAATAAAATCTTAAAAAAAAAAAAAGGGAAAAAAGTAAGAATATAATTTCCCAGGTGGACAAAACAGGGTGACCCGCTTGGTCCTGGGTATATTTTGGTCTGTTTGTTAGAAGACACTAAATCCCAAATTGTAAAGAAAGCAAAACATATATATATATATTTTTTTTTTACAAAAATAAAATTGAATACAGTGAAAGGAAGTCAAAAATGAAGAATATATCTATAAAATGTAAATGTAAAAATGAAAGTTAAAAAGACTTAAAAACAAAGAGTTGATAAGTAACTAGTTGAAAAGGAAAATTTTAAAAGATGAGATACAAAAGATAAAAGAATCATGAGTAGAAACCTCAAATTCTATATACTATTTTCCCCTAGCACTCTCAGTTTTGTAGTTCTGTATGCTCCTGTAAACTTGGTATTCGCCTGATGTTCCAGCTGGTCTTCTGGTAGAGAGGCCTGCTGCGTTGATTTTCAGGTGTCTTTGCCAGGGTGGAGTTGCACCGCCCCTTCCCAGGGGGCCAGGCTCAGTGTTAAGCTGCTTTGGGTTACTCTATGTGGCTTTTGCTCCCTGAAGGCTTTCCATGACACTTTAGAGGATGAAAATAAAAATGGCAGTGCCCAGATCTCCAGGCCCGGAGCTCAATGATCATTGCCTCCTCTCTTTAGTAAACCCTCAGGGAAAAGTAGTCTTCACTTTTGTGTGCGCCCATCTCTGCAGACTCCTGTGGTGTGCACCTGCACTGATCCTCCCGGAAAGGAGGGTTGCAATGGGCTTGTCGCTTGCAGGGCCCCTACACAGAAGTGGTCGACAGATTGAGCGTGCACCTGTGCCACCCCTCTGGGGAGAAAGAGAGTTGCCGTGTTTCTGCCCTTTGCAGGGCCCTGGCATGGAGAGTGGTCGCCCTACTGAGCAGCTGTTCAAGGTTTATAGCAAACCAAGCTGAGAGCCCATTCCGGGGTTTGTTGACTGTAGCCGGTTTCCTGCTCCGATGCTTGGGAACTCTACCAGCTCAGGCACCCCCATTCTTTCTGTGACCCCGGGGATCCTGAGACCATACTGTCCCATCTAGGATTCTGCCCCACTTCGCCACCTGAGCACCTCTCAGGCAGGGACATGTCTCACTGGAGCAGACCTCTAAAAGTTCTGATTTTGTGCTCCGCTGCTATATTACTTTCTGGCACCTGGCTGATGGAGCCTCCTTCCCACTCCCCCCTAACCCCCTGCCATTTATCTTCTGATATATATCCCCTCAGTGGTGGCTTCTCTATTTGTAGAATTCCAGCAATTCTTTTCTTACATCTCAGGTTGAATTTATAGGTGTTCAGAATGATTTGATAGTTATCTAGCTAAATTCAAGGCACCGATGAAATGAGGTCCCCTACTCTTTCACTATCTTGCCTCCCTCCTCTCAATTATACCTCAATTTAAAAAATGTCTAAAATGGTAAATTTTATGTTATGCATATTTTACTACAATAAAATTAACTTAAAAATAATACAACTAGAAATGCTTCTGTCAAATAGTTTCATCTCTTATTTTTTCTAAAAAGACTATTAGTTTTAAGGTTCTTATTACACTTTTTCACTCTCCCCTGCAAAACAGCAAATTTACATAAAAATGTATATATTAATTTCCCCAAAGTTCAACCAATAGTTTTATCAATTTCATTTATTTGTGCTTATTTAGTATATACCCTGCAATGTATCTCAAGGTTAATTTTTTTCATTCATTTAACAAACATGTATATTTCTCATATGAAGTAGAATAGTTTTTCAATAGTTTATGTTTCATCTTGGCTAAATTGCTTATAAACCTTTTGAATAGTAGTACAGTCTTTATAAATTTAAGTCAGTTCTTTGCATTATCTAATTAAGAAGCTCTTCTCTGCATATATGGAAACAAATCCTTTTCAACTCAATGTATCAACTTACCTTAATAGATAATAACTTACTTCCTGTTGTCTTCAACAGAAAAAAAGTTACTCAAATTTGGATAAACATTCTATTTTCTTCCGGTTATTTTTATTTGTTTTATTTGTATGTGTGGGATTTCTTTACTGTATTTCACCCTCAACTACTTCGGATTATGGGTGATTCCCCTCCCCAATTTTATATGTATTTATTTACATCTTATAATTTAAAGTTAGTTTCCAATAAGATACAGCAGATACAGAATGTAAAACAAGAAGCAACTGTATAATAAGAAAAAAAACTGAGTTTTCCCAAAATTGGCACTATTGACATTTTGGGCCAGATAATTCTTTGTTGTGGGCAACTGCCAACAATGCCCAGTGCCTTGTTAAAATATTTAGCAGTATCACTCGTCTCTACCCACTATTTGTCAGCAGCAATCCCCTCTGGTTGTGACAACCAAAACTGTTTCCAGAAATGGCCGAATGTCCCCATGGGGTAAAATCAGCCCCAGATGAAAACCACTGAGTAAAATAAAAATAAATTTTTTTATCAAAATAAACCACAACAATTCACAGATGAGAACACATATCTGAAATTGTTTAAGAATATTATATATTCTATTGTTCGTCTCAAGGATTGCAATATTAGACCATGTTTTATGATAATAGCCTGAACAATATAAATGGGACAGAGATCTTAGCCATGAAGTTATGTTCACAAAATAGGCAACACTTAGTAGTTCAATAAGACAAAAAAAAAGGATTTGTTTCTTCCACTAAGAGCATTGTGTAATAAGGAATTTGGCCTTCTAAGAGAAGTCTGGCCTTTATCCCTGCTGCTGGGAGGTAATTCTAAATTGAACTGATAGTTTATGCTTATGATGATGACTAAGAGGGGGGCTGGTCAGACTTGATAGTCTTAGTAATCTTTAGAGGGTCGGGGCTTTGGGTAACCTGGTATTAATTTACATAGAGAATGAGTTCACCTACAAGGGGAATACTTAATGCATATTGTTACACATCCATGCCAGGAAGCTAAAATGTCCTGAGGACAGGAAGTTTCACAACTGGAACCCTCCCAGCCCAATTCAGTTTCTCTCTCTATGGCTAAATCTAATTTATATCCTTTCCCTGTAATAAATGTAATTCTTAGTATAAATGTGTTTCTTAGTATAATTTCTTTGAGTTCTGTGAGTTATTCTTTTTTTTTTTACTTTTTTGATTGTTATGTTAATCACCACACATTACATCATTAGTTTTTGATGTAGTGTTCCATGATTCATTGTTTGTGCATAACGCCCAGTGCTCCATGCAGAACGTGCCCTCTTTAATACCCATCACCAGGCTAACCCATCCTCCTACCCCCCTCTCCCTCTAGAACCCTCAGTTTGTTTCTCAGAGTCCATCATCTCTCATGGTTCGTCTCCCCCTCCGACTTCCCCCCCTTCATTCTTCCCTCCTATCTTCTTCTTTTTTTTTTTCTTAACATATATTGCATTATTTGTTTCAGAGGTACAGATCTGTGATTCAACAGTCTTGCACAATTCTTTGTGAGTTTTTCTAATTCTTGAATCCATAGGTAGTTTAGGGGAGACTCCTGAACTTGCAGTTGGTGTTAGAAGTCTTGTGCAGATTTGGCAGTCTGGAGGACTATGCTCTTAACCTCACAGTTTGGTTAATTCTGTGCAACCATATAAACAAAAATTAATGAATTGACATTTTCTATCCTGTCTAGTTTAGCTATTTCATAAAACTGGGCAAGATGTGGGGTTTTTGTTTTTTTTTTTTCTTTTTAAGTAGGCTCTACACCCAGAATGGAGCCCAATGCAAGGCTTAAACTCATGACCATGAGATCAAGACCTGAGCTGAAATCAAGAGTTGGACACTTGATCAACTAACCCAGCCAGGTGCCCCTGGTCAAGATATTTTTAAATAAAATGGTGACATGAGTTTATAAGAGATGCTTGCAGAAGGTGTTTATCAGAAGATCTAATTAAAAAATAAAGCGTACCTGGTATATATTGAAATCTGCAAGTCTAACCACAACAGAACTAGACATTAACTTAGCTTTGGATTGTTGAGATAATACTGAAGGTGTTCTGGAAGTCCCTTTCAGAGCTGAGTCTTTCTCTGTGGGAAATGAAAAAACCTTTCAATTTATTGCAACATTATTTTTATAACAGTCACTTTTTTATTATTAAGACAGCTACTAGAAATATACATGAACACTTAATTTGTCAAACAAGATAATATAAACTGTGAAAATATATATAAACTGACGTAGGTTATCACAATGATTCCTATTTTTTGTGTGTGATTATTCCTTAAACGTGAGTCATACTTACATCACATTTAAGATATTCTTGTACAATAATTTTTACCTGAAATTCTTGGTAAAAAAAGAGACCTTTAGTTATTTAACAGTCTCAAATATTCTATCTGGATATTACGCTTATTAGTCATATTAATTTAAAGTGCTTTGGTCCATAATCCTATGGTCTGAATAAGGTTCAGAACTTTTAGATATTAATTAAACATAATACTTACCCACAGAAAATATCATATTATGATCACACACACACACAAACACAGGCACAGACACTTAATACCAGAGGAATGCCATAATGTTATTATAGGTAAAATACCTGTTTGTGTGTGCTGGGGAGAGGCATGTGTTGGGGATTTAGGAGGTGAACCTACATTATGATCCTTTACAGCCTGCTTAAGCATTTCAACGTTGCACTCAAATTCATGTAACAACTCATTGGCCCATCCATTTTTTGTTTTAGTTGCATCACTAAAATACATCCAATGATTACAACTATCCCCTGTAAAATGAATGACAGGTATTTCACTGAAAAATGCACAATTTTCATTTATCTTATTATAGCACTGCTTCTAATTAATGAGATTTATTCATTTTCCAAGGGACTCTTTCTCAAGGGAGCAGCCTTCACCTACAAGAGCTTTTAATCTGCCTGGAAAATGTGAGCAAAACATTTAGAATACAGGGAAAGAATGTCAAAAGCAAATTATCTAAAAGGTTTCTATCAAGACTCACCATTGGTAGAACATCACTCAAAAGTTTCAATGACAAACAGTACTCCTGGTCAACCTTCACTGAATGCTCAACAACCTGGTATACTTCCATTACAAAGAACCCCAGAAAATACTACCACAGAAAAAAGTCCTTTCCTCAAAGATTTGTTATAAAGTGACTAATAAAACCTATCCTTAAAATGGTAAGATTATTAGAACACTAAAGAAACCAATAAAATATCTCAAGATAGACATCAGTCATAAAGATATAGATATATCTATACTTATATAGATTTTTCAGGAGGAAAAATAAAAAATCAGGATTATTAGTTTCTCTGTAGCAAAAACTGAGAAAAGCAGTATGTACTTAAAAGGGTTAAGAAAAATGACTAAGAGTTTTACCTCCCAAAATATGAATTATTTCTGTAGTTAAAAAATATTTTATGTATATGTAAGTAACTTACAAATTAGGAGAATAGAATATATAGCAAAGCCTTCCAACAAAAATCAAAACAAACAGTAAAACCTTTAAATTCTGTCAGGTACAGATACAGAAATAACAAAGAGTAGGAGATGGAAATTTATGAACAGAAAAGTTTTATCACTTTCTTAAAGTCCTGAAAAATTCATTATACTTGTTTTTTCTTATTTTTGTGAATTAAAAAAAAAAAGCCACACATTACCAAAATGCAGAGATTGGCATAAGGTCAAATTACTTAATTTGGCTATAAATATATATACCTTTTGTTTTTATTATTTGGGAGAAAAAGCCTATCAATATTCAACTATTCAAAAGTATATTATGTATTACTTCTCAGGTTTTTGGCTAAAATCAAGTGCAAAAAGTCTATTAATGAAACTTAGAAAATATAGAAAAGTTAAAAAAAAAGTTTCAGGAATCTTAAAATCATTGCTATCCTTTTACTTTATATTCTTTCTTGATTTTTTAATATACTAATAATATACTAACTTTTAAAATTCTACACATATTAATAACTTACTTTTGCTACAATGAACAAAATAAAATGGCACAAAATATGTCTTCCACATTCTGATTTTAAGTTTTAAATCAATTATTTAGAATACTGACAAATGCTAACAATTACACTTTCTAATAATCTACATAAAACTCTATAAAATGCATAAATATTTTCTATGGCATTTATATCTTCTTGGTAAGATACTACTGGGGAAAAAATAACAAACGTCTTGGTCTCTTTTTTCGTTAAAAAATTAAAGAGAGGAAAGATGGCAGTAGAGTAGAACTCCAGGCTCACCTTAACCCACGAATACAATTAGATTACTATCAAGTCATCCTAAAAAACCCAGAAATTGACCTCAAGACTGGCAGAACACCACACTAAAGGTAGAGAAGAGGCCACAATGAAGAAGGTAGGAAGTGCGGTGACAGGGTTTGGGAAACAGATCGTGGCTACTGTGTTGGGGAGGGAGCCAGAGTCACAGAGAAGGGTTAAAGAAAAGCTAACACACAGGGGAACACATGGGGAAAATGAATCCCCATAAGCAGCTGACTTGGAAAGCAAAAGGAACTGAATTTCATGACTTCTAGCAACCAGCAAGGCTTAAAGCCTGGAGTTCTGAAGGTCAGCATGCCTGGCTGTGGGAAAGTTCGGAGGACACTGAAGCAGCTCTTGTAAAGAGGGCAGACAAACAACCCACAAACATGTAGCATGGAAACAGCAATCTGAAGAGCACCTGAAGCATACACCAGGGAAGTTATTCACTCATCTTGGATCACATCCCAGAGAGAAAGCATTCATGGAGAGATCCCTCTGGGAACAAAGGAACAGGCCAGCACCATTTCCTTCCCCCGCCCCTCAGCATAAGCACAGGGTAACCTGCAGGAATCAGCTTAGTGTGGACATCCACTACCCAACTTGCTTACATCAAACCTTGCTCCACGCACTCCAGTGGAACTGCCCCTCCCACTCACACTTGCCTCAGTCCCAGTGCAGTGGACCCCACTCCTCCAGAAGACATGCCCAAATCCCTGCTCACACTGCAACTCCCTAAATGGGAGTTTTGAAGAGCCTCTGTTCCGCCAGTTGTGGCAACAGGTCTCAATTCACAAGCAGACCAGAGCATACCTAGCTAAAATGCTCCATATTCAGGCCAGGGACAAAACACTGCCAACAGGCAAAGAGAGCCTCTGCAGACAACTGGCCTGGGAGATAAAGCAACCAGGAAACAACAACAGAGCACTCCCAGAAGCACCAGGACCTGGTGAACAGGAACACCAGAAAGCAGGGTACTCCAGGACCTGTTTTTCATAAGGCCATTACCCTCAAGAACAGGCGATATAGCTGATTTTCCTAACACAGAGAAATAGGCACAGAGACTTAGACAAAATGAGAAGACAGAGAAATTTATCTCAAGTGAAAGAACAGGACAAGGGCACAGCCTGAGAGCTAAGTGAAACAAATATAAGTTACATGACTGATTCAGAATATAAAGTAATGATTATAAGGATATTCATTGGACTTGAGACGAGAGTGGAAGACATAAGCGAGAACCTTAACACAGAGATAAGGAATGACATAGCAAAGATAAAAGGCTCAATGAATGAAATGAGAAACACACCTGGTGGAATGAGCAGCAGGATGGAAGAGGCAGAGGAACAAATTAGTAACCTAGAAGACAGATTAATGGAAAGTAATCAAGCTGAACAAAAGAGAGAGAAAAGAATTATGCAAAATGAGAATAGACTTAGGGAACTCAGTGATTCCATCAAACATAATAACATCAAACATAGTATTATAGGAGTCACAGAAAAAGAAGAGAGAGAAAAGAAGGCAGAATATTCCTTTGAAGAAATAAAAGAAGGCAACTCTCGGGTCCCCCTCCCAATTCGGGAGCTTTGTACTCTATCATTTAATAAATTTTACTATCACTCAATAAACTCTGCTTTGCTGCCTGAAAGAAAGAAAGAAACAAAGTAACAAAGAAACAAAAGAAGAAAGAAAGAAAAGCTAAAAATTTCCCTAGATACCTGTTTCCTTTCCTGGGAAAGGATCAGGATCTAGATCCAGGAGGCACAGAGAACTAACATCAAAATCAACAAAAGCAGATGCACACCAAGACATATTTTAATTGCCAAAATATAGTGATAAAGAAAAAAAATTAAAAGCAGGAAGACAAAAGAAGACAGTAACTTACAAGGGGAAACCCGTAAGGCTATGAGAGGATTTTTCAGCAGAAATTTTCCAAGCCAGAAGATAGCGGCATGATATATTCAAAGTGCTGAATGGGGAACATCTGCACCAAAGAATACTCTATCCAGCAAGGCTATCATTCCGAATAGGAGAGATAAAGAGTTTCCCAGACAAACAAAAAAGAAAAGAGTTCATGACCATTATACCAGTCCAGCAAGACATATTAAAGGGGACAGTGAGTGGAAAGGAGAGACCAAAAGTGACAGTATTAAGATAGGAAACACAAAAGCAGTAAAAATGAATATTTTGTAAAAAAATCAATCAAGGAACTCATAAAATAAAGAATGTAAAATATAAAAACATAGATCTAAAATGTGGGGAGGAGAAAAGTAAACAATGGGATCAAAGTTAATACAGATTGCTATATGCAGAAAAGGTTATATACAAACCTAATGGTAACCATAACAAAAACCACTAATAAATATGCAAAGAATAAAGAGAAAGAAATCCAAATATATCACTAAAGAAAATCAGCAAACCATGAAAAAGAGACAAAGATTAGAGAAAATCTTTAGAAATGACCACAAAACAAATAATAAAATGACAATGAATACATATCTGTCAATAATTACTTTGAATTTATGTGAACTAAATGCTCCCATCAAAAGACACAGGATAGGAGAATAGATAAAAAGAACAAGGCCCATCTATATGCTGCCTTCAGAAGACTTATTTTATACCTAAAGACACTGGCTGATTGAAAGTGAGGGGATGGAGAAACATTTATCATGCAAATGGATGTCAAAAAAAAGCTGGAGTAGCAATATTTGTATCAGGCAAAACAGACTTTAAAACAAACACTGTAACAAGAGACAAAGAAGGATAATATATAATCACAAAGAGACAATCCAACAAGAAGATATAATAATTGTAAATATTTATGCACCCAACACAGGAGGACCCAAATACATAAAACAGTTAGTAACAAACATAAAGGAACTAATTGATAGTAATAATAGTAGGAAACTTTAACATCCCACTTAAACATCAATGGACAGATCATCTAAACAGAAAACCAATTAAGAAAACAATGGCTTTGAATGACAAACTGGAACAGATGGATTTGACAGATACATTTAGAACATTCCATCATAAAATAGCAGACAGAATACATATTCTTTTCAAGTGTACATGGAATATTCTCCAAAATAAATCTCAACAAATTCAAGAATGTTGAAGTCATACCATGCACCTTTTCTGACCACAACACTATGAAACTAGAAGTCAACCAGAAGAAAAAATCTGGAAAGATCACAAATATATGGAGGTTAAATAACATGCTACTAAACAATGAATGTGTTGACCAGAAAATGAAAGAAGAAATAAAAAGAGTAAATGGAAACAAATGAAGATATAATGGTCCAAAACCTTTGGGATGCAGCAAAAGCAGTTCTAAGAGGGAAATTTATAGCCAAAGAGGCCTACCTCAAGAAGCAAGAAAAATCTCAAATACACCACCTAACCTTACACCTAAAGGAGCTAGAAAAAGAAAACAAACAAAATCCCAAACCAGTAGAAGGACATAATAAAGATTAGAGCAGAAATAAATTACATAGAAACTAAAAAAACCAATAGAACAAATCAATGAAACCAGGAGCTGTTTCTTTGAAAAAAATAAAATAAAATTGATAAACCTCTAGCCAGACTTAAAGAAAAAAAGATGCTCAACGGGGTGTCTGCTTCTCCCTCTGGCCCTCCCCCCTCTTGTGCTCTCTCTCTCCCATTCTCTCTCTCTCAAATAAATAAAATCCTAAAAAAAAAGAAGAAATGAAACAGGACTCCAATAAAATAAAAAATGAGCAAGGAGAAATAACAACCAAGACCACAGAAATACAATTATAAGAGGTTATTATGAAACACTAAATGCCAACAAATTAGACAACCTAGAAAAAATGGATAAATTCCTAGAAACATATAAACTACTAAAACTGAAACAGGAAAAGAAAGTTTGAACAGACTGATAAGCAGCAAAGAAACTCAATCAGTAATCAAAAAACTCCCAACAAACAAAAGCCCAGGACCAGATGGTTTCACAGGCAAATTCTACCAAACATTTAAAGAGGGGTTAATACCTATTGTTCTCCAAACTATTCCAAAAAAATAGAAAAGGAAAGAAAACTTCCAAATTCATTCTATGAGGCCAGCATTACCTTGATACCAAAACCAGGTAAAGATACCACTGAAAAAAGAACTACAACCCAATATCCCTGATGAACATAGATGCAAAAATCCTCAACAAAATACTAGAAAACGGAATTCAACAACACATTAGAAAAATCACTCACCGTGAACAAGTGGGGATTCATTCCTAGGTTGCAACAGTGGTTCAATATTTGCAAATCAATCAATGTGATATAGCACATCAAAAAGAGAAAGAATATGATCATTCAACAGGTGCAAAAAAAGCATCTGACAAAGTACAACATCCATTCATTATAATAGCCCTCATCAAAGTAGGTTTGGAGGGAACACACCTCAACATAACAAAGTTCATGTATGAAAAACCCACAGTGAACATAATCTTTAATGGGGAAAAACTGAGAGCTTTTCCCCTAAGGTCAGGAACAAAACAAGGATGTTCACTTCCACTACTTTTATTCAACATTGTACTGCAAGTCCTAGCCACAACAATCAGACAACAAGAAGAAATAAAGAGCATCCAAATCAGCAAGGGGGATGTGAAACCTCCACTATTTGCAGATGACATGATGCTGTATACAGAAAACTTGAAAGACTCCAGCAAAACACTGCTACAACTGATAAATGAATTCAGTAAAGTCACAGGATAAAATATCAATGTATAGAAATCTGTTGCATTTCTATACACCAATAATGAAGCAGCAGAAAGAGAAATCAAAGAATCAAGCCCATTTACAATTGCCCCCAAAACCGTAAGATACCTAGGAATAAACCTAACCAAAGAGACAAAGGAACTATACTCTGAAAACTATAAAACACTGATTAAAGAAATTGAAGAAGACACAAAGAAATAGAAAGACACTTCATGCTCATGGATTAGAAGAATATTGTTAAAATGTCTATACTATCCAAAGCCTACACATTTAATGTAATCCCTATCAAAATACCAAAGGTATTCTTTTCCAGAACTAGAACAAACAATCCTAAAATTTGTATGGAACCACAAAAGACCTCGAATAGCCAAAGCAATCTTGAAAAAGAAAAGCAAAGCTGGAGGCAGCACAACTCTGGACTTCAAGTTATATTACAAAGCTGTAATCATCAAGACAGTATAGTACTGGCACAAAAACAAATACATAGATCAAGAGAAGAGAACAGAAAACCCCCAGAAATAAACCCATTAAGTATATGGTCAATTAATTTTTGACAAAGGAGGAATAACTATCCAATGGGAAAAGAACAGTCTCTTCAAACAAATGGTGTTGAGAGAACTGACAGCAACATGCAAAGGAAACAAACTGGACCACTTTCTTATACCAAACACAAAAATAATTCAAAATGGATTAAAGACCTAAATGTGAGACCTGAAACCACAAAAATTCTAAGAGAAGAGGCAATAACCTCTTTGACATCAGCCAGAGCTATTTTTTTCTAGATATATCTCCTGATGCAAGGGAAACAAAAGCAAAATAAACTATTGGGATTACATCAAAATAAAAAATTTTGCACAGCAAAGAAAACAATCAATAAAACTAAAAGGCAACCTTACAGGATGGGAGAAGATATTTGCAAATGACATATCCAATAAAGGATTAGTATCTAAAATATATAAAGAACTGATACAACTCAACACCCAAAAACCAAATAATCCAATTAAAAATGGGCAGAAGACATGAGCAGATATTTTTCCAAAGAAGACATCCAGATGGCCAACAGACACATGAAAAGATGTTCAATATCACTCATCATCTGGGAAATGTAAATCAAAACTACAATGAGATAGCACTTCACACCTGTCAGAATCGTTAAAATCAGTAACACAAGAAACAACAGGTGTTGGCGAGGATGTGGAGAAAGGGGAATCCTTTGCAATATTGGTGGGAATTTAAATTAGTGCAGCCACTCTGATAAACAGTATGGAGGTTCCTCAAAAAGTTAAAAATAGAACTATGCTATGATCCAGCAATTGCACTACTGGATATTTACCCAAAGAATACAAAAACACTAATTCAAAGGGATATATGCACCCCTAAATTTATTACAGCATTATTTACAATAGCCAAGATATGGGAGCAGCCCAAGTGTCCATGGATAGATGAATGGATAAAGATGTGGTATATATCTACAATGGAATATTATCAGCCACAAAAAGAATGAAATCTTGTCATTTGCAAGGACATGGATGGAGCTAGAGAGTATAATGCTAAGCAAAATAAGTCAATCAGAGAAAGACAAATACCATATGATTTTACTCATGTGGTATTTAAGAAACAAAACAAAGGAGCAAAGGGGGAAAAAAAAAGAGGGACAAATTAAGAAACATACTCTTAGTTATAGAGAACAAACTGATGGGAGGGGGGTGGATGCTGGTTGGGTGAAATAGGTGATGGGAACTGAAGAGTGCAGGTGTTGTGGTAAGTACTGAGTGATGTATGCAATTGTTGAATCACTATACTGTACACCTGAAACAAATGTAACACTGTATGTTACTTAACTGGAATTAATAAAAAATAAAAATAAACATACATTAAATTAAAACAAAATAGGGCGCCTGGGTGGCTCAGTCGTTAAGCGTCTGCCTTTGGCTCAGGTCATGATCCCGGGGTCCTGGGATCGAGTCCCGCATCGGGCTCCCTGCTTGGCGGGAAGCCTGCTTCTCCCTCTCCCACTCCCCCTGCTTGTGTTCCTGCTCTCGCTATCTCTCTGTTAAATAAATAAATAAAATCTTAAAAAAAAAAAAATTAAAACAAAATAAAATAAATACAAAATGAAATAAATTAAAACAAATAATACAAAAGGAAATGAGATAAACTATCTATATAACTTTAAAGCAAGATTTACGTCTGTTAAAGAAATTGTTATACATACCTGCTTTGTGATAAGGATAATAATCTATAGTTAGCTGTGTAAAAGACAGTTGCATAGCCCCTCCAGTAATACGTCTATTTGACTCTGGAAAAAGAAAAAAAATGGAATTGAGAGAAAGAGAAAGAAACATTAAGCAAGTATCAGAAACACTTCATTTATCAGACAGTCCAAGCAATGATTAACTGTCTCTCTGTTGTCATAGATAATACATTAAGGATTTCAGGAAATGCAATTCAATCTAATCAGTGTTTATTGAGCTCCTATCATTCGCAAGGTACCAAGCTAAACAGTGAGGATACAAAAAGAGCAGAATTTTTATATTTACAGCCCTAAACATATGCCAAGCAATGTTTTAAATACTTTAAGTATACTTGCTCATTTGCTCTTCCTTACAACCTTGAGATAGATACTACTACTACTACTACTACTACTACTACTACTATTATTATTATCCCCATTTTCTAGATAAGTAAACTGAGACACAAAGATGGTAATTAAATAGACCAAGGTCATACTAGCCAAGAAATATAGAGCTGGTTTTGAACCCAGGAAATATTAACCTCTATATTATATCATCCTATCTCTTACTGAAGGGGAAATTTAGCCTATTGGGTTAGTCCAAATTAACACAGCTATATGAAGATTAGAAGTAGATCACAACTCAGTGTGACTCCAACATAAAAATCAAATTTTAAAACAGCATGAATAAATCAACTGGAAGTAAGGAAAATACAAATTAAGATACAACTAAGTACAAATGAACATAATTCATTTCAGACCTTTCTGGATTTTAGAACAGATCTGTATGATGAGGGAAATGTTTTGGTAGAGTTTTCCCCTTAAATAACATAATTCAGCCTGTTCTATGAAGGAATATAAAGAGTGAAAATGTAAAAAAAGCTTAAAAGACACTTTTTTTCTATTATTTTGCTTATTACTTAACCTTGACCCCTCATTTTGTTATTTTGGATTATTTTAACTTTTCCATTTTCCTTTCACCTAACTAAAGCAGAAGATGCCAACTTTAAACCAAATGACACAAAGATGGACAAAAGAAAAGAGAACAAATCCTTCTCTAAACTCCAAACTTTCCTCATCTTTTTGTTCCACCCTTTTATCTAGTCAGTGACATCTGGCTGCCTTATCTGATGAAGGCAGGGTAACTTCTGCTACCCAGGATCGGTCTCAATATTTACTCTTTCAGCTTTAAAAATACAGAGCAACAATTTTCACAGATGTACAGACTGTGAATCAGGTCTGAGGTAGAATGGTTAGATACAAATATCCCGGTTTTAAAGAGATCCTCAGCTTGATCCTCAAGCTCACGACAGTCTGAGAACTACTGTCCTAGAAGAAGGCCCACTTGATGAGCCCTCCCAACACTTATGGGCCAGGAACACTCTCCAATGGAGAAACAGAAATGCTTACTTAGTACCTACATTATGGAACCACAGATTTTCAAAGCGACCAAGAGCAGCTTCCCATTTACTCCATTACCTGTGTCTACTAAATAAGGAAAAATAAGAGAAACAAAAGCTAAAAGAAAAAAAACTTACTAACTAGAATTTAGCTTCCTAAGCAAATTTTGGGAGGATTACTGGCGAAGAGACACAAGAAATGGTAAACAGCCACACAGCTGTGTTTACATGTATATGGGGTCAGAAAAATGCAGACAGACCACCATGGGAAAACATGTGTGCAAATAATTATGAATTGAGTATGGACTCAAATTTAATTTATATACAGTTTCAAAATTATGAAAAAGTTAATTCAAAGGCAAGTCTAATATTTAGGCCTTGATTTTTTTAAAACCTAATTTTACTGGTAGTATCTGGTGAAATACTAGCTAACAAAAAATTGTGCTGAAATACTAAGTACTAAAGCAAAATAAAATTTCATACAAATATATATTGCTTAAAATTACAACTTTCATTTACATACCTCATATGAATGATAAAATTATGGCCAGTTATCATACCGGACATACTATGTATTACATATGATAAACAATCCAGTTTTGTAAGAAATCCTAGAAAAACCAAAATAGTTTGAAATAAGCAGCTTTTATTACCTTTTTCTTTAGCATGAATATCATCACATATGTGTAGATCTAGATGAGAAATCACCAAGTGATGAGAGGTTTCTTTAACATCAAAGTCATTGAATAGTTTCACAATTGCATCATTTAGATCAGGAGCATTTGAGGTCTGTGGTGTCTTCACTTGTTGGGTAGATGGGGCTACCGCAGAGCTCTAAAAGATTCAAAACTGCCTTATCACTTCATGTTAAATATTTGAAATTCCACAAACAAGAAAACTTAAATATCTTTAGTAATGAAGTCATGAAAAATAAGCTAATATATTTTGTTTTCTATCAATAACTCAATTCCCCCCAAATATTTTCTGAATTATACGAGAATAAAGTTAAATCTAAAAACTGGAGAATTATACACAATTTGAATGAGACCAATGTATTTTAATAAATACTTGAATATTTATATATTTATAGTCCTTATTCTAGAAAATATATTTAGTAACTATTAAAGGCAGCTTATTCAAATAGTATCAGTTCTACCTATTAGAAGAGGAACAAGGGCGACTGGGTGGGTCAGTCAGTGGAGGAGTTTTCCCCTTAAATAACATAATTCAGTTTATTCTATGAGGGAATATAAAGAGTGAGAAATGTAAAAAAGCTTAGAAGATACTTTTCTCTATTCTTTTGCTTATTACTTAACCTGGATCCCTCATTTTGTTATTTTGGTTTAACATTTCCATTTCTTGGTTTCAGCTCTTGTTTTGATCTCACCTGTTGTGAGATGGAGCCCCGCATCAGGCATGGACTCAGCGGGCAGTCGGCTTGAAGATTCTCCCTCTACCCCTCCCCCACCCCGAACAGCCTCACTCACACCCACACACACCCCACTCTCAAATAAATAAATCTTTTTTTAAAAAAAGAGAAACAAATGCGAGCCCTGTATACATCAGCTGTATACACTATTATATAGCCTGTAAAAATAAATCACTTCTTTGTGAAGTCCTTGTGATACACTGTAAGTGCTCTGGTGCCTCTCGTAAGAGATGAGGCACATCCTTTGAACATGGATATCTGAAGAAGCCAGAAAGCAGAAGAGATTTATAACAGACTCTGCATTCAAATTCTTTTCTCCCCAAAGTGAAGAAGCATAGAATACTGCTAAAGTATAAAGACTGATGTGAACTTAACAGCCTAAAATGATTCTATATACGTAAGCATACTGTAAGATCATCTGTTACATAAGCTAAAGAACTGTACATGAAATTTTGATAATAATTAACAAAATGAAGACCAAACTTTTCATTAAAAAATATTAAAAAGTTTCTAATTAAGAACAATTCATTAATAAAAGTATAGTTAGTGATATATGGAAAATTAAAGTATATATATATTTTGTATATATACATGTTTATACATTATCTATTAAGAATTATCTGTAAACGAATTTCAAAGTATACTCAGTAAATGAAAATTTCTCAAAGAAAATGATCAAGACCCACAGTAATTAAAGAAAAGTAAAGATGAAATATAATTGTGAAGCCTTAAATTCTAGGGGCTTGAGAAAATTTTTTTTACTAATTGTCGAAGTAACTTCCATAAGACAAATCACTTATTTTTACTTTTTTTTTTTAGTAGGTTCCAGGCCCCACATGGAGCCCAACACAGCACTTAAACTCAGGACCCTAAGATCAAGACCTGAGCTGAGAACAAGAGTCAGACACTTAACCAACTGATCCACCCAGGCGCCCCAAGGCAAATCACTTATGTTCTTCTACTTTCAAAGCTTTAACAGACTACTATTTATATCTATGATTGTACTATTTTGAAGGAAAAAATTCTCCTGTATTTCTTTAACCAGGGTTTCTATCTTCTTCATCAACAAAAATACTGATAGAAACAAAAACATAAACATTAATCTCTCTACAAACCCTTTTCTTAATGTTGTGGTAGATTCAGTTTTTATACGCTGTTTGCGGGGGGTGGGGGGGAAGTGGGCCATTATGAACTCTTTTGCCTTCTGAATAATCTTAACATTTCTTGGTTTTCAGTGTAGTCTTCCCTTTTAGAGAAGGAAAAGATGAAGCTAATCAAATATTTATGAGAGAAGACGTCTCTCAATTTGTACAGCTGAGCAAAGGAACACTATCAACTACTTCACTCTCTTATCCACTCTCTTGGTCCTCAAATCATTAGGACATTCTATATGATACCTAAAGTAGTAATGTGACAACTACCACTCAAGAAAGAAACTCTGTGGTAGCGTGAATGGTTAAGTAAGTCTACTAAGAAATATTAGGGAGCAACAAAAAATAGTAATTACAAAGACTAACAACATGGAAGAAAATTGTATATATCCACTTACTACATACTAAAACTAGGAAAAATGCAGGTGCCTAGGCAAAAAGACTGTAAGGAAATAACTCAAAATGCTGACACTGGTTTTATTATGGTGATAGGATTATAGAACTTTATCTTTGTTTCTAGTTTCCTAATTTGTATCTTTATCTGGTTTCCTAATCTATATTCTATATAAATATATCCACATATCTAAATAAGACCTACAGTAACACCAAAACTCTGTCTACTAGCCTTTAATTTCAATTACCATCTCTGTTACTGACATTCTAAGCTACATAAATCCTCATTGTAAACCTTGACAGACTAGTGTTCATGCCTATGATGGTAATACTTAAAATATTACTTCTATTTCATTATGTTCTTTCAACTTCAAAATGGTACTCATTTATTACCTTTTCTTAGCCTTATTTCCCTTAATCAAACCTGCTTCCTTCTTCTGCATTCCCTTTACTTACTGGCTACCAATTATCATTTGAAAATCCTCAATTTTCTCTTCTTTATTTTCAACTGAAGAAAGACTCCGGTATCTCTCCCCAGTTTGGCTTGTTGATTTCTTCTTTCAAACCATTTCCAGAGGTTCAAATCTACCCCTTTTTTAGACTGGCAATCTTTTTCTTCTTCAGCCCATCCAGTATAATACCACCAAGCATTATTAGATATCCTTTCCTACTAAAAACTTCCAGTGGCTTCCACGTGCCTACAGGAAAAAGTCCAAATTCTTCAACATATAACAAATGCCCCTTACATCCATTCACCACATACATCTGCCTAAACTTGGGCTACCCACCCAGAAAGACCACTCTGTGTTAATAGTTCAGTGTTCTGTTCATCAAACTTTTAAAATCAGGTTCCCCCAGAGAATTATAAAGATATCTCATTGGATAAATATTATTTATTGGTAGAATGATATAAGGTTTACCATCAATTCCTTATTTCACTTTTACGGCTAAAAGCTCTAGAGAACTATTCATATAAATAGGTAAATTGGAATGAAAATGGTTTTATTTTAGCAAGATGACAGGATTCTTTGAATTCCTTCAAATTACATGCCAGGATTCATGAAATGACTTTAAAAAGTTATTTTTAATAATCTAATAGCTGATATGTATAGACAGACCCTACTTCAAATGTGTTGAAAACAGGGGTACCTGGGTGACTCAATCAGTTAAGCGTCTGCCTTCGGCTCAGGTCATGATCCTGGAGTCCCGGGATCGAGCCCCGCATCAAGGCCTGCATCGGGCTCCCCACTCAGCGGGGAGTCTGCTTCTCCCTCTGACCCTCCCCCACACATGCTCTCCCACTCACTCTCTCTCAAATAAATGAATAAAATCTTTAAAAAAAATTTTTTTAAATGTGTCGAAAGCAAAGAAGTGGAAGTAGAAACCACATGACTTGTAACTTTGTCATTTAGTCATTGACTTCCAAGACGAATAACAGTATTTCAAATTACCTCCATCTTGTCACACCCCAAGCTTTTTTAGTATTTTTCCTCTCAGACAAATCCATCATACTAAGAATAATAAGAATTAAGAAGAAGGCCTTTCATTTGTCGAGTAGGATAAGAGTAGTTTGGGAAAGGGAGAATCTGACATTTTAACATAAGCACATTCTCTGGCAGACCAAGTTTAAGAAATAACACATCAAAATGGGGTATGTGTAACCCAATTTCCTTAAAACCTGGAAAGGTGTGTATCTGAGAGGCATGTGTATGTTATTCTCAAAAAGACTTCTCTAGTAACGCCAAACTCATTTTTATCAGAAATACCATGCTCTTTAACAATATACTTGTGCAAAAAACAAAAAACAGAAAACAATATACTTGTGCAGATTCCATTCCCTCATCTGACACATCCTTTCCCTCACCTGTAAACTTTTCATTTTTAAGACTTGGTTTCATTATCCTCTTTGTGAAACCTTTCCAAACTATGCAAGCAGTTGACTACAACTTCTCTATGCTTCTATGGTTCCTTCACTCCCCTTTTTATTTGCACTCTAACATTTAAGATGAACTACAATGACTTGTTTTATATTTGACTTCCCATTATACTCTGAGATCCTTGAGGACAGGGTCAGATAATATTCATTTTTACATCTACAGTGTCTAGCCCTGTTCCTTATCACATAGCAGCTAGATAGTACTTAATGCCAATTCAATAGTCATAGGAAAGCTTAAAATGTATGCTACTTCCATGCACCAAGCCAGATCACCAATAAGCCATATATCTGAGATATATTACTCTGTTTCCAAAGAAATAGCTTCAAAGAAATAGGATTTTACAATATCCCTTGTTTTTATTAAGAACAGATACAATGCTAACAGTTTTGTGTTGAACTTCAGCAATTTCCCAGGGTTTTACATCTTCTGTAATATTAATTCTCACATTTCTCCCTTGACTATACCCAAGTTTTTTTCCTTTTGCCCTTACTTTAGTAAGTTTAAGTTGTATTTTACTTCCTGAAAACAGGTATTTATTTTTTATTTATTTTATTTTATTATGTCAGTCACCATACAGTACATCATTAGTTTTTGATGTAGTGTTCCATGATTCATTGTTTGTGCATAACACCCAGTGCTCCATGCAGAACGCGCCCTCTTTAATACCCATCACCAGGCTAACCCATCCCCCCACCTCCCTCCCCTCTAGAACCCTCAGTTTGTTTCTCAGAGTCCATAGTCTCTCAAAAATATGGAACGCTTCATGAACTTGCATGTCATCCTTGCACAGGGGCCATGCTAATCTCCTCAGTATCGTTCCAATTTTAGTATATGTGCTACCAAAGCGAGCACGAAAAGAGGTATTTATAACATCAAATACTTTTATGTCATCGTTAACTCTAGTGCCTAGTACAGAATTCCAAACAAAATAAGTATCATATAGTCAGAAACACATTTAATATATGTTTTCATATAGATTCCATGTGTAGAAAATGATGCAGTAAGATATCTAGATAAAAGATTCTTGGACTCAAAGTCTTACAATCTATTTCACATAAAGAAAATAACTAACCATTCTGATTTTTAAACCATTTACATATTAAGTATTTTCCTCTTAAAAGCATACCTGCGTGGGGCGCCTGGGTGGCTCAGTCGTTAAGCGTCTGCCTTCGGCTCAGGCCATGATCCCAGAGTCCTGGGATCAAGCCCCGCATCGGGCTCCCTGCTCTGCGGGAAGCCTGCTTCTCCCTCTCCCACTCCCCCTGCTTGTGTTCCCTCTCTCGCTGTGTCTCTCCCTGTCAAAAAAAAAAAACAAAAAAAAAACATACCTGCGTAGGTTCTGGAGCCATACTCTTCCTTTGTTCTGTTGATTTTTCTATTGCTTCGCTAAGAGATTTTGCATATTGTACCATAGCCTTCAACTGGGAATCCGTTAAAACCCATAATAAGTCATCCAATATTAGAACTAACTTTGTTGCAATAACATTGCAGTCCTTTAACTGTCAGAAAAAATGATTCATAAAATTAAGCCAAGACATAAAACTTACAATGCACTAATGTTTTAAAAATATTTAAAATGTCTGCATGAAATTAAACACAGATCCTTCCTTCATTCACCAATTATTTATTGTGCTCCTATACTATAGAAGGAATATCTCCTTGTATTGGAGATAGAGTGGTAAAAAAGACTGACAAATTCCTATACCTTAACAGATGCACATTATGCAGGTACACGCACTTATGTAATTTAATTCTGCACTTATAGCTAATAAATCATAAAATTACCTATATTAATTGTGCTAATTCTAGTACAGAAAGAAGCATTAAAATTATAAACTGAATGCTATTTTAACCACATTTCACAATATTGTATTAAACATTATACTGAAAAAAATTTTTCAATTTAATTTAGAATATTTGTGTCTAGTGATATAAAACATATTATTGAGACTTTAATTGAGCCATGTTTTAAAAAGTCATTACTCCATTAAATTTCATTACAATCTACAGTGAACTTTCAACTTCTGATATCTTTAAGTAACTATCTTCCCTATTTATCCAAATTAGCATTCATATCTTAATAACCTTTTAAAAGCTAGTTTTGGCTTTTGCTGTTTACATACTCCTAAGTAAGATTCAATAGAAGAAATGAAATTATAAGACAGTTAATGTTCAAAAATATTTGGCAATTGGGGCGCCTGGGTGGCTCAGTTGGTTAAGCAACTGCCTTCGGCTCAGGTCATGATTCTGGAGTCCTGGGATCGAGTCCCACATCGGGCTCCCTGCTCGGCGGGGAGTCTGCTTCTCCCTCTGACCCTCCCCCTCTCATGCTCTCTGTCTCCCATTCTCTCTCTCAGATAAATAAATAAAATCTTTAAATATATATATATATATACTTGGCAATGGAGAATCTATTAATCAAAAGTAAAAATCTAAGTGTTAAATCCAGAAAATTGAAAAATATTATTACACTAGATTTCTTCAAGTACTACTTGAGCCATTATATTTCCTTTTATTTTGCTTTGTTTTAATATTCCAAGGTTTCACCTGAAAATTATTTAAAATTTCCTCTCAATTCCACTAGTTATCACACGAACCAAAAAGGTCACCCTGCTGACTTACTCTTCTTTTAAGTGTGACTCTGATTTTTGATTGGTTGGTTATTAATCGAACAGGAGCACACATAATTCCAAGATGTGAACTTTGAGTAGCATCTGCCTCTATTCGAATCATCTGCCAATTTATTTCTTTAAACGTCAAAACCTAAGGAGAACAAAGAGAATAGCTTCAGTTACTCAAGCAAAACAGAACTGAGAGACATGTAGATTTGTAAAAACAACAAAAAGCTAAACAAATAAGCTAAATAAAATTTTATGTCTTTACTAATTTTCTTATGACATTCTAGATATATTCACTATGCTTTTATTTTTTAAATTGTATAGTTACAACAAATTCAGTAACATATCTTCAATTATATTATTTATAAAGCTGTTTATACTTCAATTTTGATATAAAGTACAAAGAGCCTTTGAATCATGTGAACAAAAAAAATGTAAATAACATTTTAGCTTTGTATATTTAAAATTCAATTCTGAGTAGCTGAGAAGTTAAAATGGAGTTCACTAAAAGAAGGGGTTTATTAACTCTATAAATTGAAAGATTACAGTAAAAACACTAAAATATGCACATTTTTAATTAAATAACTAAGAGAAATACAGAGAAAAGTATAGTTAAAAGGTAAGAGTAAATGTAGTATGTAAATCTAGGTAACTATAAGAAGTAAGTATTTTAAAATGTCCTCTTTATTTATCAGTGACTAAAACATTTTTTTAAACAAAGAATGAAAAATGTTTACCTCTCCTCTCTGTGGATGTTGAATACGAGTAAATCTTAAATCTCCATGTTCCCAGTTTGCATTTACGCTATAGATCCTTAGCTGGGAAAGTTCAAAGGATGCATTGAAAGCTTTTGCTCCAATGCGGATAATAATGGAATTTACAGAAACAGTAATTCCCTCAACTACTTTTTCAGCAAAGCCATATTCACTGGAAAAACAAAGCAAAACAAAATATAATGCACTGAAGCCAAAACAAATCATTAAAAGGTTATCTGTTAATATTCTCACACAAGTGCACAAACTGACCATTATATTATTCATTTTTATGTAAAAAATTTCTTGGTTAAAACAATAATCTAGGCTGATTACATGTAAATTATAAAAATGTTCTTCTCAAAATGATAAAAGATTTTTAAAGTTTAAGGTTACTCTTTATTTTGTAAGTTTTTTATTTTACTTCCAGTATAGTTAATATACAGTAATATATTACTTTCAGGTATGCAATAGTAACCTAACAATTCTATACACTATTTAGTGCTCATTGGAAGTGTACTCTTTGATCTCCATCATCTATTTCACCCACCTCTCCCCTCTGGTACCCATTAGTTTGTTCTCTATACTTAGGAGTCTGTTTCTTGGTTTGTTTCTCTTTTTTTCCCTTTGCTCGTTTGTTTTGTTTCTTAAATTCCAAAATCATACAGTATTTGTCTTTCTCTGACTGACGTATCTTGCTTAGCACTATACGCTCTAGACCCATCATGTTGTTCCAAATGGCAAGATTTCATTCTTTTTTAATGGCTGAGTAATACTGCATTGTAGATATATACCACTTTTTCTTTATGCATTCATCAATCGACGGATACTTGGGCTGCTCCCATATCTTGGCTATTATAAATAATGCCGTAATAAGCATAGGGGTGCATGTATCCTTTCTAATTGGTGTTGTTGCATTCTTTGGTGCAATTCAGTAGTATTCAGTGTTGTTGCACTCAGTAGTACAATTACTGGATTGTAGGGGTAGTTCTATTTCTAATTTTTTGAGGAACCTCCATACTGTTTTCCACAGTGGCTATACCAGTTTGCATTCCCACCAACAGTGCACAAGTGTTCCTTTACCCCACATCCTCACTAATACTTGTTCCTTGTGGTTTTGATTGAAGCCATTTTGACAGGTGTGAGTGAAGGTTACTCTTTATTTTTTTTGAGAGAGAGAGAAAAAGAGAGAGGGTCCGTGTGCATGAGCAGGGGGAGGGGCAGAGGGAGAGAGAATCTTAAGCAAGTGTCACACCCAGCAAGGAGACCGATGGGAGGCTCCATCTCATGACCTTGAGATCATGACCTGAGAGGAGATCAAGAGTTGGACACTTAATCAACTGAGCGACCCAGTCCCCCCTGAAAGGTTACTCTTCAAATTAGGTTATTATATATAATCACTATCCAAAACTGCCTATTCTCAAGTTGCCAGATGTTCAAACAACTGGAATCTACAAAGTAAATAAGAAAGCTAAATTCCTGACACAAAGAAGGCTACAGACTATAAGTACAATATAATCTCAAATTTAGGAATAAAGTCAGAAAAAGTTCATATTCTCTAATCCAAATCAGCAAATATTTATTGAGCATCTACCATGTGCACAATGCTGGGACATAAGGAAAACTGAAATATAGTTGTGGTATTCTAGGGCTCGCAAGTTACTTGGAGAGGAAAAACATAGGAACCGAAACATTAGGCAGTCTGTAATTAAGTGCTTTAAAAAAGGAATCATCATTACACTTGGTAGAGGAAGAAATTGTTCATAACTAAGGAAATCTATCTAGGAAAGAAAAATATATTTCCTACAGTGAGTGATAGGAAGAAGGGAAATCTTATATTAGGGAAAAGTACAAGGAAAGGCACAGAAAAGTAGGAAAGTAGAGGTCATATTTCGAGAATAATGAGTAGTACAGTATGACTGGAATATAGACTACCAATATATTTTGGCAGGAAGGGTAATAAAAGTTTGTCCACATAACACATTACTTCAATTATTATCACTATGACCATTATTCCTAAATCTCTATCCAGATTTCTCCCTAGAACTTCAGAGTGTTAAAATTCAAATGTCCACCAGCTATTTCCACGAGGCTGACTCCCATACATTTCAAAGCCAACATATATAAAAGTGAACCCATCATTTTTATTGATCATGTACATCCCTCTCCTATACCTGCTGCTAAGCATCTTGATTTACTATCTTACTGAATAAATTACCTAAGCTTCCTAATCCTCAGATGACCTATCTTTTAAATCAGATAATACTTTGCAAGTTACATGTGGGTTGCATGCAATAATGCATATGAACCAAACAGCCTATCTCTTGATTCATACTTTATGAAATGTAACTATTATTTACAATATTATGGAAAACTAAAGAGGAAGAACTCATCAGCATCCTAGGGAGAAGCTGCTTTAATCCCAAGGACAAATACTTGGTCACTTGGCTAGAAATATTCCTGGAGTTGGAAAGAATATATTATTCTATAATTATTATCTGGCAATGCCCTTTGGAATATCCAACCCCATCTGTTCTAACTTGTGCATTAAAAAAAAAAGTGTTACAACTGAATTGGAGTATTTACCACCAGACGGGTGAAGCCTGAATCAATGACTAAAGTCTACAAGTTTCTGGCTATGTCATCCATTATAAATTAAAAAGGTGAAATTCCAGTATTCAAACAAGTCTCTTCTAAGTTTGATTACTCTTCACAAAGATGTAGATCTCCTCTATATGAAGTGATAAAATTTCTGAACTTACAAATTTACTAGATCATTAATCTATGGGAACACAATCAACTCACAGGTCTGGCACAGAAGGTAAGGCCAGCCTGTTAAATATTCATTTCCCTGTATTTTAATCTCATAGAGACAAAATCATATTGATCAGTGTTTCTCCAAGTTGTATAAGTATAAAGAATTGTTAAAAATACATAATCACATTCTTGATAACCATTCTAGACCTCAAGAATCATAATTTCAAAAAAAGGGACCTAAAAGAATATAGATTTAATAAGCATCCTAAGTGAATGCTATAATCAGGCAAGTCTGGAAAATGTGGAAATAGATTAACCATACTACCATACATAAAAATATAAGGATTATCATCATATGATTACAAAGCCAAAATTATAAAGCTTATTGATACTATAAAAACATGAGTTAAGAAGAACATTATCAACAACAGCAATTTTCCTGATCTTCTTTTCCACTTTCAATAATCTTATAAACACCTCTACTTTTTCTCCAATTTTTTGGACTCTATCCAACATGACCAACTGCTCCAATCTACTCTATCACACATGAAATCATAATTTAAACTTTAAAATCTCAAATTGCTGGATGATGTATAAACTACAAAGAAGTTAATGTGAAAGCTCTTTTCCCAGTCACTATTACCTGTAGGCCAAATATAAACTGTACACCTGATAAACCTGGCCTTCAGTCAACTCTTAGCAGTGGACTGATGGATCACCATCAGATTCCTATGTGGAGTGTTACTGATCAGGCTATAGGTATTCTCACAGAAAGCACTAATGTAAAGGTAGTTCAACCTTGGTGAAAGAGGAAGGTGGAAATGCATGAGTGTGTGTGTCTGTGTATCTGATGTGTACATTCATTCTCTTTTTTTTTATTTTTTTAAAGATTTTATTTTTAAGTAATCTCTATACCCAACATGGGGCTCAAACTTACAATTCCAAGATCAACAGCCACATGCTCTACCAACTGAGCCAGCCAGGCACCCCATGTACGTTCATTCCAAAGAAGAGTTTTATCATTGGTTTGACACAGCACCCGAATTCTATAAAATGTTCAGGGCTGCTGCGTTCTACAACTTGAGGAGGCACTAATCACATTAAAATCTATGTGAACATTTTACATGAATAGGTGCACAAAAATTAGTGCAGAAATCCTGCCTTAAGAAAATGATATATAGTATGAAAGCCAAATGTAATGGACGCAATAATAAACAGGCAATTTTTTAAAGATCCATTTTTTAAGGGGCGCCTGGGTGGCTCAGTTGGTTAAGTGTCTGACTTCACCTCAGGTCATGATCTTGGGAGTCCTGGGATCCAGCACTACATCAGGCTTCCCACTCAGCAGGGAGTCTGCTTGTCCCTCTGCCCCTCCCCCTGCTTGTGCCCTCTTGCTCACTCTCTCAAATATATAAATAAAATCTTTAAAAAAAAAAATCTATTTTTTTAACATCTAACTTTTTAAGACTTTGCAAAATGGCCCCCAAGCTTCTACTTTATTAGCACCTGATTTTATCTATGAAAATCCAATTTATAAAAAGTGTGAACATTCTATATTTCATGAATTTTAGAGTAACCCAAAAGGCCTATAATTTTTTAGGACATCAACTTAACCCTTAAGAGTCATAAAAGTTCCACTGATGCATAGAATAAATGAGAGGCAAAGAAACTATTCAGAGACTAAGATATTATCTGATTTATAGGATGTTTTTGGTTGATCATTACTATTTAATATCAAGGAAAGCAAGATGAATAAAAGAGGCTAAAAATCAATTCTACAACTTTGGTAACATAATACCAAAACTGCAAGATATCATGGGAAAAGGTGACTGAAATAGAAACTGTCTGAGGTTAGGAAATTTTATTTTATGTTCCATTACTACAGATAACAGAGCTAACTACAGAAAAGAACTCCCTTTACAAGTCATGCAGATTAAAGGAAATAGCTTACCTTTGTCCTGAAGCAGTTGCAATTGGTGATGGGCCATTAGGATTTCGTGGTTCTTCACATGTACTCATTTCCATTATTACTTTATCCAGGGACTAATAAAAATACATTAAAAATTTAAAAATTAGGTATTTTATGTATTTTATGAAAATATCATGTAACACTATTTTCTCTTTCTTTAGGAACAACGTAAACAGTAAGTAAGCGGAGTCACTTTAAATGTCTCTCTAAAAGTCTAAAAAGACAAATACCAAAACAGAAAATGTGCTCAGTCCTTTCTCAAGGCATCTGATAAAAAAAGCTGTGGGCATCTAGGAGTATGAGACAAAAATACTACAAGTAGCCATATGCTGCTGAAATCATCAGATTTTACAGAAGCCAAATCTCTAATTCCAGAATGTATGATATTATTAATTGCTAAATGAGATTATATATTAATGAATGGGATTTAAGTAGCTGTAAAAGCTTATCCCAATCTAAGACTTGAGATTTAAGACATGCAACACTGAAAAATATGAAATATGCAAGAAATGTGAAAAAATAAACATTGCCATAATGAAAAAATGTCTTTCAAGCTAATAGTTTTGCTTGAAGATCAAATGTTCTTAGTAGTCATCACTAACACAACTCAGTCATTCTTCATTCTCTATTTTAATATAGCATTTATTATCCGAAATTGTCTTGTTTACTTGTTTGTTGTTGGTCTCCTCTATAAAAATATTAAGTTCCCTCAGGGCACAGGGAGGGTACTCAATAAATATATGTGGAATGAATGAATCAATAAATGACCAAATGACCAATCTTTCTTCAATTTTCCATAAAAAGGAAAGTAGGAGGCTCAGTTGGTTAAGCATCTGCCTTCGCCTCTCAGGTCATGATCCCAGGGTCCTGAGATCAAGCCCCTCTGGGCTCCCTGCTCAGCGGGGAGTTGGCTTATCCCTCTCCCTCTGCCCCTTCCCACCCCACTCTTGTGTATGTGTGTGTGCTCTCTCTCAAATAAATAAATAATAAAATCTTAAAAAAAAAAAGGAAAGTATATTCAGGTGCATATTATTTAATTTAGTAGATCAATAAAATCAGAAACACAGTTTGAATTAAATGTTACTAAAACTGTCATAGTATGTCAATAAAGAGCTAAATGATACAATAAAAATATAACAACTTAGAACATAATACATCTGAAAAATTTTAAAGGACCCTCCCATTTTAAAACTCAAACTTCTCATTTAAGGGCTGAAAAAACTAAGTACCATCCAAATAAAATGAAAGCCAATCTGTAGAAAAGCCAGAAGACCGTGTTTCTATGAAACAAAAGATTAATATTAGCAGAATAGTTAGATCATATGCATATATAAATGTTTATTTCTGAGGCAAGTCAGAACTCACCAAACAGATGGGATGTGTTTTCAATTTTGTCCATGGAATCTAACAAAAAAAACAAACAAATTTTTTTTCTTTAAAATCAATCATTAAAAAATAATTTAAAACAGCAATCAACACCGATGTGCTCTAAATATAGTGATAGACATACCAAATTCTATCAGATGACTTTTTCTCAAATTGCAAAGTAATAAACTGAGCAACTCAGACTCTTGAAATTAGATGTACCTATTTTATATAAGAAAAGACTACTAATCATATTTTCTTAGTTATCTTTTAAAATAAGAATTTTAGGTCCTCATAAGTTTCTTTTTTCCCAGACCTTAAAACACATTTTAACTTCATCATTGATTGATTTAATTTTAAGTAGGCTCCATGCCCAACGTGGGGCTTGAAGTCACGACCCTAAGATTAAGAGTCACATGCTCTTCTGGTTGAGCCAGCCAGGCACCTCTTTAACTTTGTAATTTAAACTAAGATTTCCCAGCAGAGCATAACCAGTCTTTTATTCATTGAACAGTTTTTTAAATTCTAAAATTCTGACCATAGGATGCCTGGCTGGCTCAGTCTTGGAAGAACATGTGACTCTTGCTCTCAAGGTCATGACTTTAAGCCCCATGTTGGGTGTGGAGATTACTTAAAAATAAAATCTTTAGAAAAAAATTTTTTTAATAAAATAAAATTCTGACCAATCTTTTTGTAGATATTCAAGAAAAACACAAAGGTGAGGGCACTCAGGTAAATGTAGGCAGTATCAAATAATAATGTTCAAACATACACTAAAAAGTCACATCTTTATAGATATTTGGGTTAAAGGTCACCATTGAACAATATAGGAACTTTTCTACAATCTTTTCTTTGGAGTCCAATTTTAATTTTATGAAACAGATTACTCAGGCAGTATTTCTACTGAGCAGACTCTCAAAAAGACTGGTCTTTAAGAGCAAGAAGTGATACGACATACAATTAGAGTCAAAGGTATGCAGGAATAAATTTTAATAAGGAGGAATAATAATAATAAAAGAAAACTTAAAAATCCTTGAGGAAGAAACAAATGAGGAAAAGAAATAAAATTTCAAATAAAAGTACAATGTACAGAATAAGGTAAGGACTGATGTTTTCATGTCTTTATTTGAAATCATGTTTACTTACTACAAATTTAAATTGTCCCTATTAACAATAAATCTTATGAAAAACTATCTTTGAATATATGCCAAATTTAACCAATTATTTTATTAATAACTACCAATACTTTATTTAAATGTTAAAATTAAACTTTAAACAAAAATTAAACTATAAATTAATAATATATTAGCATATGACTTCAATTAAATTTATCTGGCACATATTCATGCAATTACTTAGACATAGGTATTTGTCTTTTTAAATTGTTAATGAAAATGTTTTTTTATAGAACTATCTAAACTAAAACAAAATATTTATTTTAAGAGATAGGAATGAAATAAAAAATGAAAACAGAAAATGCTTTGCACAGATATCAAAGTCTCACCCTAATAGATGCTTTATTACAAAAAACTTTGTTGATAGCAAGCCATGTTGGCAAATCCAACATATTCTGGAGCACCTCTTCATCCAACTCCAAATTCTTCAGTTCACCTTCTCCTTTGAGGGTACTTAGATTTATCTTGTCAGGAGATAAATTTTTAGTAAATCTGAAAGAGAATATATATTGACATTCATTTTAGTGTCAGTTACTGTACCCTAGTCATTCTTGCAAATATACAAAGCATTAAAAATAATAGCAGCACAAAGAAACACAAAACTTCAGTGACAGGCTCTACTTTAATCCATGTTTTTCAATGAGGTTTTGTTATTGTTTTGATCTCTCTCTTAAGCATAGCTCTCTTATACAAAGCCTACAGTGTTTTTAGCATATATTTGAATATCATATTTCTACATACATAAAATTCTGGTTCTTACTGTCTTTCAAATTAATGAATATTTAAGTAACATCCACTTTTCACCAGGTACTATGCAAGGCAGTAGGAATAACTCAAGGTCATCCCATAACCACGTGTTGTTCACTTTGCTACAGACCACATCACAGAAAGGAATATTCCTATTTTACTAACCAACCTACAAGGAAGGTTAAGGGAATAAGGGGACCCTTTAGAAGTAGCAATAGCAGCTGCTACCCATTCATCATCCCAAGAACAATATCAAAGGATATTAGTACTCCTTTTTAGAATCATCCAGAGATTCCCAGCTTCAGAAACTGACCCAGATCATTCAGGAATAAATTAGAGTACACAAATCTTTTTCTAAAAGGTCTCTGAGGAAAGGGATTATGCAACTCTACTTGGCAGCCAATTTTGGTGTTTTCTACATGAGACTTAAAAATACCAATTACTTATAATCCTAAATTGGCTGTACAAATACCATTTATCCTTTCTGTAGGAGTTAAGATAAATGAAGTAGTAAAGTGCTTAGTAAAAGTGCCAAAAGTCACATGGGAGACTAGATCCTAAATTCTAATTAAAGAACACAGATTCTCTATGATGAATTAAAAATGAAAATTCTTAAACTTAAGAAAAAAGACTGGAAATAACAATAATAGTTAAAACAATACTGGACATTTTCCAAGGGTTTATTTACTGTGTACCAGGTTCTTTGCACGTAAGCATTACTACTTCATCTAATTCCTACAATAAACCATTAAGGTCAATACTATTTTTATTCGCATTGATTTGATAAGTAAACATAATGAGAAACTAACTTACTTGCCCAATATCACAACTAATAAAGATAACAGTAGTAACAATAAATTATACATATACATTAAAGTACTTCCATATACATCACTTTATTTGATCCTTACAACAACCCTAGTTTGTCTCTTTTGCAGCCATTACTGAAGCAACAGCAGCCAAAATGAAGTTCAATCCCTTCGTGACTTCTAATGAGAGGAAGAACCATAAAAGACATTTCAATGCACCTTCCCACGTTCACAGAAAGATTATGTCTTCTTCCCCTCTTTCCAAAGAGCTGAGTCAGAAGTACAATGTTCAATCCATGCTAATCCAAAAGAAGAATGAAGAACAGGTTGTGCAAGGACACTACAAAGGTCAGCAGATTGGCAAAGTAGTCCAGGTTTACAGGAAGAAATACATCATCTACACTGAATGAATATAGTGAGAGAAGGTGAATAGCACAACTGTCCATGTGGCCATTCACCCTAGCGAGGTGGTTATCACTGGACCAAAAGTGGACGAAGACTACAAAAAGATCCTTGAACATAAAGCCAAAACTTGCCAGGTAGGAAAAGAAAGGGTAAATATAAGAAAGAAACAATTGAGAAGATGCACAAATAAAGTAATGTTACATATGACTTGAAATAAAAACTGTTCAAATGAAAACTATAAATAAATAAAACAACCCTAAAAAAAATGAAAAACTGCTAACTTTGCCCAGGAAGTACTTTTTTCAAAAATGAAACTACTGACAAAATTAACTACCAGCTAGGGGCGCCTGAGTGGCTCAGTCGTTAAGCGTCTGGGATCCTTAAGGGTCCTGGGATCGAGCCCCGCGTCGGGCTCCCTGCTCAGCGGGAAGCCTGCTCCTCCCTCTCCCATTCCCCCTGCTTGTGTTCCCTCTCTCGCTGTGTCTCTGTCAAATAAATAAAATCTTAAAAAAAAAAAAAATTAACTACCAGCTAACAAGAGTTATCAGCCAGTCTTTTACCTTTTTTGAAACTAATTATTAAAGTAACAAAATAAACTGGTTATTCACATGCCCTACACATCAACAAGAATATCAATAAATACACACATGCTTCATTTCATGCTTCCCACTGACTCTGCACCAGAGTTTCTTGAGCCATATTTTATCGGGATTCATATCGTCTCACAGAATGTCAGCTGAGAAATACAGAATTCACATTTAACCCATATTTGACCAGTGATGCTGGGTTGTATTATACTGACCACCAATCATGTTTGGTTTAATACTATGATGTTTCCTGACAGGCTTTCACCCCTAATCATATAGGAATGACCTGCCACTACCTCAAGGCAGATTATTAGAGCTAGAAGGGAGCATTCACTAAGTACTTACTGAGAATTCACTATTCAGACACATACACTGACAAGCAATACACTCAAGGAGTCCCTGCCTTTGTGCAGTTCTCAGTTCAGTTGGTAGACAGAACACCAAAAACCATGACTAAGAGAGAATACAGTACAGGGTTTTAATCTAGAGCTTCACTGAAAACAGGGACTTTTGAGATGATATTTGAGAATGAGTAGTAGAACTTAACTAGGCAAGGAAAAAAAGGGAGACAGAAGAAAGAGTATTCCAAGCAGAGGGAATAAAACACAAAGAAAGGTTCTCAGGCTGTAGGGAGCATGGTATAAAATAGAACTGCAAGAGGACCAAGAGAGTAGAAGATAGATCAGAAAGGACAAAGGGACTGATTCTACAAGGCCTTGACCATTTCATTCAATCATTCATTTAGTAAATCCTAATTGATACCTATAAATTAACAAACAATGGAGATATGACAATGAACAAAACATAAAAAATCTGCCTTCACGGGACTTAAAGGGACAGAATTCTGTGGAGAACGAAAAAATAAGTTAAATACATAGTAAGTCAGATTCTGACTATGGAGGGGAAAAACACCAAAATAGTAAGATAGCAGGAATAAGCAGAGAACCTTTTAATTTTTAAAAGGATGGACAGGAAAACGCTCAGTGAAAAGATGACATTCGGGCAAAGATCTGAAGGAAGTGAAGGAGGTAGCTATACAAATATCTAGAGGAAGAATGCTCTAGGCCAAGGAAAAGCAAGGGTAAAAACCTGAGGTGGGAAAATGCTTGGCATGTCTGAGGAATAGCAAGAAGGTCAATGTGGCTGGAGAAAGGGAGCAGAAAGGCAAGAGTAAAAGGAAATGAGTTAAGTTAGAGAAATAAGAAGGGCCAGATCACACGGAACCTTTAAAACCACTCTGAGGACTCTGGCTTTTACTCTGAGTAAAAACGAGAGTGACTGAAGATGGTTTTGACTAGAATAGGAAATCTTTTTTTTTTTTAAAGATTTATTCATTTTTTATTTGAGGGGGAGAGAGAGAGAGTGAGTGTCTACATGAGCACAGGGAGAGAGACTCTCTCTGCAGACTCCACGCTGTGTGTGGAGCCCAACACAGGGTTTGATCTCAAGACCCTGATATCATGACCTGAGCTGAAATCAAGAGGCAGATGCTCAACCAACTCAGCCACACAGGTGCCCCTGGAAACTTTAATTTTCAAAGGTTCATTCCATTGAGAATATATGAAAGGGAGGACGTGGACAGAAGCAGGCGGCCCAGATAGGAAGTTACTGCAAGAATCCAGGTAAGAGAAGAGCTGCCCTGGATCAAGATGGAAGAGTAAAAAGTGATAGAAAGGGAAAAGTCGAGAGAGATTCTGAAAGTAAAGCCAACAGGATTTGATTGTACAGAATGACGTCAAGGATGACTTCCAAGGTTTTTAGTCTGAGTATATGGAAGGATAGAGTTACCATTTATCAGGGTTAAGAAACAGAGGGAGAAATAAGTTTGGGATTAAGGATCAGAATTTAGGCTTTGAATAGTTTAATTAAGAGATGCCCATTAGATACCCAATAAGAGATGCCAATTACGTAAATATTCAAATCTCATTCAGTAGCTGCAGATACAAATATGGTGATCACCAATGTTAGAGATGGTACCTATAGTTGCAAGATGGAGACAGAAAATTAAATGGCTCAAGGACTGTGGTCAGAGACCACTAAGAAGCCAAGAAATGTGAAAGAAACCAATAAAGGAGATTACAAAAGAAGAACCAGTAAGGCAGGAGAGAAACGAGGTTGCTTTAGAGTTTTGTTTTCTTTATTAAGGTAAGAGAACTCAGCAAGCTTATATGTTGGTGACAATGATGCAGAAAAAAGAAAACTACTGATGGTACAGTAAGGACAGACAACTGCTAGAGCAAAATCCATGATTAGAAGACAGCAGATACAGTATACACGAGGAGGGGGTGGCCTTGAATAGCTCTGACACTGGAAAGCATGTTAATACTCTATATATGTAAAAATAAAATGAGAAAGAACGAGAAGAGGGGAAGCACCTAAAGCTGAAATCAACCTGAAACAACCTAATTATATTTCCAAAATACTATAAGCTTATTCATTTATTTATTTATTTATTTATTAAAGATTTTATTTATTTATCTGAGAGAGAGAATGGGAGACAGAGAGCATGAGAGGGAAGAGGGTCAGAGGGATAAGCAGACCCCCCGCTGAGCAGGGAGCCCGATGTGGGACTCGATCCAGGGACTCCAGGATCATGACCTGAGCCGAAGGCAGTCGCTTAACCAACTGAGCCACCCAGGCGCCCCACTATAAGCATATTTAAAGGGAAGAGGAAGAGAGGAAGGGCAGACAGAGGGACAGATGGGCAAAGACTAATTGGAGTAACCAACATTTGACTGTATATCCTTAGTGCTGGGCAAGAAGGGATGTAAGGGTGTGTGTCTGTGCATATGGGAGGGGTTAGTGAAGAAATCAAGCAACATCTTGACCGGGTATGTACAAGAATGCTCATCTCAATGACATTTACAAAGGGAAAAAAGTGAAAGCACTTAAATGTCCAAAGGGAAATAATCTCTTTAATTATATCATGCTACATACATATCAA